CGGAATTCTTATATTAAATTTGACCAATTATTTGGAATTATGTATTGGATTTTAAGTGCTGAATTCTCACATTAAAATTCTGTCAATTATCTGGGTTTTGGTTTTGCCTTGTAAATTACTTGCTTATCATTTGAATGTTGTAATTTACATGGATATGGAGGAAGGTATGCACCGGTATGGGACGGTGGCATACTAGGTATGGTTTAGCTCAAAATGCTAAATCCTACCTTATGGATTTTAATTGGTGAACAGTATGACTGGTTCTATCAATTATATGGACTTTGTGGATTGTATGCACCGGTATGGGACGGTGGCATACTAGGGACAGACTGATTTAAAATACTCAGTCCTACCTGTTTTGGAATAAGGGAACGGGTTGTTAAATAAATCCTCCTTATATATATATAAGTCGGTACGGTTGAATACGCCGAATGACTTATTGGATTTCTTGTGAATGGTTAGGAACGGAGTTTAGATATATATGTTTATGGTACCACGAGTTGAGCTTGAGTCTCGAACTTGTTGGTTAGGGTGCGTATATGCAGTGGACGTGTAGCTGGTTATAGTAGGTTGGGTGTACCCTGTTAGGTCTAGGTACTCATGCCCACCTTTGGGTGCGTATTCGCATGTTGCCTTCTATTCAGGTTGAGATCCCTACTGTAGTTCAGTGAATGTCCCATAGTGTGGATATATATATGTATGGACTAGATAGATATTGTGAGGTATCTATGGTGTATCTGCGTATCGGGTCACTGTATGGATTGCAGTTAGATTAGAACTTGCTAGTGGGCCTGACCCACCCTTTTATTATTTTTTTCAGGTGTTCGTCAGTTCTGAGCTGTAGAGCGTGATCGTGCTGAGCAGATACAGTTATTCACTCTACTGATGGCGTAGGATTTTATTTCATGTTAAGACTTGGGTTTTGTTCCAGTCTTTTGAGTACCATTGGTTTTTAGGGGTCCACTAGATGGATTCCCGAGTTGTATACATTGGAGAACGATTTCCATTCTTGGTGGATCAGTTGTATCAAAAATAGTTTTAATTGTCAATGAAATTATTTATTCTGAGGTTTTCAATTATTGGATTATCATTCTAGGTTCTTTTCAGCAAAATTTTATTTATTCTTGTTTTCTATATTGTATTCTGTGTTCATTAAATTGCTAATTGTTTTGATATCCTCGGGTAATCGGGCGTGGGCCTGGCCAACCCGCATCCGGAAATTCGGGGGTATTACAAAAATGCCCTTAGCAACACATTTTATAATATATATATATATACATAGGTACTATTTATAAAAATTGGACTTATAAAAATTGGACTAAAATGCCCTTGGCAACATATTTTATAATATATATATATATATATATATATAAAATATTTTGTGAAATGACTAAAAAGGGTTTGACCCTTCTTCTTCTTCATCTTGGTGGTTGCCGCCGCAGAGAGGGAAGAGAAGACTAGAGAAGACCCGTCATCTCCGGTGACTCAGTTCGAGGAGATCTTGGACCTAGGGCTTGGTTGTGGTCAAGAAATTTGTAGAGACAGTGACTGGAACTTCAGAGTCTATTCTTCCGGTTCGTGCTGTTAATTCGTTGCTTGATGGGTACCATGATCTCACTGGCTTGTCTTGGTAAGTAGTGATTCGGCTTTACTGATATTCGCACTTCAGTGTTTGGATGTTGAGAAAAGGAAGGAAAGTAAGGAGGAATTAAATTCATAATTTTAGGTTGTACCTTAAATGAGATTCCAAATTCTCCTTAATTAAGCCGAAAAGTGGTATTGCTCATGCCCCCACTGTTTGATTACTGAGAAATTGAAAGAAAGGAAAAACAAATGATATATTGATTGTCAAGTTTGTTTTTGTGGTTGGTAGAATTGGATTTTTATTTTGAAAATTTCGTTATATGGTTGATTGTTTAATTACAATTCGCAGAAAGACAATTTATTTTTTCCTCGCAATGATTAATAACATTATGTAGAATACCACTGTCACAAAGGGTTTTATTTTGGAATTCAAAAGCCAATTTTATCTTTGGCTTAAATTAGTCGTTCACATTTGGACCAAATTTGAAAGCTGGTTTTTTAAAATTTGGGCTAGCTTTGATTAACCCAAGAGCTTTTAAGTTTCAAATGTTTTGTCAAGCTTTTAAGTTTCTTGGTCATGTTTCACCAGATTTTAACTGTGCTATTAATTTTTTTTTTCTTTCTCTCTCATTTTATGGTTGGATTAGTGGAGTTTATATAGGATTCATCCCTACAAAATTTCAACAAACTTTGTAAATTCCTTATTGTACCTTAGCACACTGAACACCAACCAACTCTCCACAAACTGACAAAACTCCCACTGTACTACATGAGTACAACTAGAGGGAGATGCAGTACTCACCCTTCCATGTCAAACAAACCTATAAAGGCAAGCTTTTGCAGAAGGAAGTAAGGTTTGGTAGGGGGTATTTTTGGAAGAGTAAAAGGGTAAAATCTGTATTATATTAGTTGACGGGGTGTTTTCGCACAAATTGAGAAGAATAGGGGTGTTGTTTGCACACTTTTTTAAATAGGGAGTAAAAGTGCTATGAAAAGTATACTTCAGGTATTTTTTACACTTACCCCAATATAATAAACAAAGTAGAGATTGAACCATAGTTAGTAACAACAAGCAGTGCTCATGCTGACATGATCATTTACCTTTCTAAAAAAAGAAATAATGCACACCTCGATTTACACGAGAATAAGATATACGCTTCCACATGCATGAGAAATTATTAGATAGTCGGTCCTCGTCTATTTGACACTTGGTGGACTAATTTAATAAGAGTCATTCGATCATAAAACTTTGTAATTTATTTGGGGTCATTTTCTCAATCCTAGAGTCTGTATTTAATTGGTCCATCAAGTGTTAATAGTCCAGGACCATTTAATAATTTATCCGCATTGGAACTGTCTAATTAGGTAATGATAGGTGTAACATTTCAGCCATAAGTGACAGCTCGTGTGGTGTGGCACAGTATGTACCAAGAGACGGGATATTTTCCCCAAAAAACTTCACTGCTAACGGACTAACGGAGTGCCTCCACATGTTGATGAAATATATAGTCCTTGGGCAGTGGCTCTGTAGGTCATAGGTGGCCGGTCCGTTATGGTTCTGCATTGAGAGACATAGGGAGATATTTCATCCTGGTACCAAGCCATTTCTTTCTTTCCAAGCCAAGCCACCATGAGGTGTGTAAAAACCTTGAGGAGAGATCAACTAAGCAAACCTTGGACATTAACCACCAACTCAAGTTCTTCCAAGAATCACACAAAACAATCATTGGGATGTCAATTTAATCCGTACCGCCGGCCCAGCACCGTTTTGCCCCTAATGGGACTGGTTTGGGACCACCCTAATAGGGTTAGGGACGAGAGTTCAATATTCGTAAAGCCCCGACCCTGATAAATAATAAATAATAAATAAATAAATATTCTTTTGTTAGTTATAGTTTATATTTTCCTTCATTCCTAACCATAATTTTAAAATTTAACAGCATTTGTGTTATTATAATTGTTAAATATTTAACTTGATTTAATTTTTTTACAAAATTTATCTTAAATTTGTTTAAGCTGAATTGAATTTTTTAAAAAATATTTCTATCAAGACGCCCCAAACCCGCCCCAACTCCGATGCAAGATGAGGCGGGTTGGGAAATATTTTTACTTGTGGGATAGGTTTGGAAAAGGGGTGCCCCGTCCCATCCCGAACCCACCCCCCTTGACATCCCAAATCGTCATAGGCCTCTACCTCAGAGTCCGGCGACTATGATGATATCCATAGATTATAGAGTGAGCTATAACATATCCATGTACCCCAATATATCAAGGATGACTGTGGAGAAGGTTGCAAGGTTACATGAGAAAAAGAGGTCCTCACAGCAAAACTTAAATGATCGTGTAATTTACTACCAAGATGTTTAAATGATGCAAATGCTCCTTATGATTGATTATCACGAATTGAATTACAGTAATATTAATAAATAAAAAAAATTACAATAACAGCATTTCACATTAAAGTGAACAGTGAAGTGCATTTTTAAGAAAACGGGGTTCATTATCATAAACTAACATTGTTCAAGTTATATGATCTGTCGTGAAATGCATTAGAGAGGACCCATGTCAATTATTGCTTTTCTTTTGACGAAACTGAAGATTATTTTGGCTAGTTAATATGATATAATTTTGAAAAGAAAAATGATCTTATTTTAAAGTATTTTGATATAAAACATTTATTTTTATTATAAAAAAAGAAGAAGCCATTGATATAAAACATATTTGAATACCTGATTGCATTTTTGTACTCAAAATTATTAATTTAAGGATGCAGCTTAAATGAAATGTGTTAGCGATTGGTTGCCCGTGTTTTAAAATTTGCAAATTATTCTACAAACCAAATAGTTAAAAATAATAAAATAAGCGAAATCAGTACTATATATTTTTCTAACTCAACAAAAAATTACAATTCTTCAATTTGGATATTGAAATACCTAAAATGACCTTCAAACAAAATAAAAATAAATAAATAAATAAAATAAGTGCATATTTTAAAAATCCCCCCAAAAGTTATTTATTTATTAATTTTTCTGTTTTATTTGTCTTTTTTATTTATTAAAAAAAGAATTACCTAAAATTTCCTTATGGGTATTTTGGAATTTTTATAAAAAAATTGGTCAAAATTGAAGCCCAGAAGGTAATTTGCTCCAAATTTTGAAAATACAAAGATTTATATGCACATAATAAATAGTATGCATATTTTTTTGTGTATTTTTTATATAGCGAATTAGTTGGAGTTTTTTTTTTTTTTTTTTTTTTTTTTTTTTTTTTTTTTTTTGATATTTGGAATTAGAATTGAAAAAGGAATTGAATTTTAACTAAAATAAAATTACATTTATAATTTGGAATAAAGTGAAATTTGTAAAAATAAATTTCTTATCATTTTGGATAAGAGACGTTGGATATGACATAATTAACCCGCCACATTAACCTACCGTTTTTTTTTTTGAGAAGCTGCCGCAACCCCCCGCTCTCGTCAGTCGTCGCCACCACCTGGGCGTTCGATTGCTATCACACCCAATTCTCTCTCCCTATATCTCCCTCCTTGCACACACATAATCATCAGAAACCAGCTCTCAGTTTTTGGGTTCAAAGGTATAGTTACTCTTTTCTACCACAGTGCACTCTCAGAGTCGTCTAGGTTTGATTCCGAGCTATTTTCGGTTCACTGTTTTAGCTCACGTAACACACACACACACACACACATATATAATGAGGGGAAATATTAAATCCACTGTCACTCCTTTGTTGTAGAGAATAAAGATGATTTTATTTATGCAGCATAAGCTTATTCTTTCCTACCACTTTATGTTTGTATGGCAAATGTTTGTTAAAATGCATAAGTGAATGTCTTTCACTAGTGTACATAAAATATCTGTACTTTTCATTCAACTTCTAGCACTCATTTTTGTTTGATTTTCACTTGGTTCTTAATTTTGAAACATATTCCTCAAACATCTCTTTTTAATTGAGCGAAGGAAAAAAAAATGTTTGGTTCTTTTCTTTTCTTTTTTTAATAAAAAAACAGCTTTTGCAATCAGATTGCTAAAGGTCTTCCTTCATCTTCTGAAGGAAAGAACTTCTGCTTCTGAGATTAATTTTCTATTTTGTTTAATTTAAGTAGATTTTTAATGCCTTCATTCAAATGACCCTCTTGGAAAGTATGAACGATCAAGATCATTGGTCTTAACCCTTAAGGTATAAGGCTTAATAGAAAATGCATGGAATGATTCTATTATACGGTTTGGTTATTTTATTTTATGCTTTATTTGCTAAATTATTTTTTCTGCTCAAATAATTGGTTTTTATAGTTGATAAACCTTTAATAGTGGTGCTTTTCAGGTATTTTTATACTGTGTTCCAATGTTCAAAACTAAATTAATTTTAACTTTAGATATTGACTTGATGTTTTATGAAGCTTGATTGTCTTGAAAATAATTTGCCTCTTGCGTATTGTTTTTCTTCTAAATGGGCACTATGAGACTGCCCATTAGTGTTGGTTGCATATTCCTATTCACTAGGTGAGTCGTATGAAATTTTTGAATGAACACATGCTTCGAAACTGGTTTTTGCAGGTAAACAGCTGTCAGTTGCCGGTTTCTGCATCGTGGAATTTCCTTCCTGTTTGTATCTATGAAGTTTGTAAGTCTCTCTCTTTCTCATGAGGTTGTGCATATGGGTGATTGTGTCCATATCTGTTTTAGGTTTTTGCTACGGAATTGATTGAGTTTGCTTTCTGCAGACATGTTTGAGCAAAGGCAGGGGTTTCCATTTCCCACCATGCCATATACTCAATATTTGTGGGTTCCAGGTCTTACTTGATTGCCCTCTTGACCTTTCAGCTCTAACGATCTTCTCTCCTATTCCTGTGGATTCTTATGTGAGCCCAGACAAAGAAACTTCTGATTGTTCTGAATCTGTTTGTCAAAAGAAACAGAAAATTGAAAAAACCCTTGATGCAAGCAGTTTAATACACGCAGAGCCATGTTATAGAACTGTTAAAAACTTACATCTGTATAATGTTTCTTTTATCGACATTGTGTTGATCTCAAGTCCGATGGGTATACTTGGTTTACCATTTTTAACTCGCAATAAGGGTTTCTGTGCCAAGGTAAGTAAGAAGACAGAATATATTCCTTTTTTCTAAATTTGGTTCTAGTTTCAGTGTAGCCTAATAAAATTGATTTTGCTTGATTGGTTTGGTTGTTAACTGGGTCAGATATATGCAACTGAAGCAACAGCAAGACTTGGTCAGCTTATGATGGAAGATCTTGTTAAAATGCACATGGAGTTCAGGCAGTTCTATGGTCCTGAGGACACTGGTTTCCCTAAATGGATGAAATGGGAAAATCTTGAAGCGCTTTCATCAGCACTGAAAGATATGGCTTTAGGAAGCAATGGGGTGGAGCTTGGTGGTTGGATGCCCTTGTACAGGTAACAGTGTTCATTTGTTAGATAACAGACTTGTACTTATTTTTTGTCCATTCCACCAAATGAACTGTATTGTTCTTTTAGTTTGTTGACTTGGGTAATTGTTCTTTTAGTTTGTTGACTTGTTTATTTATTTATTTTTTTGGCCTGTTAGCTATCAGCAATCTTCAGAAGATTTGCTTTAGTTATATTGTTTTCCAGTTTAATATTGAAGTGTCTGTATCTGTTTTCCTTTTTCTTCTCTCCATCTTTTATTTATTTTTGTATTTTGTATTTTTACCTATTATATCATTTCTGTAAGGAAATGCCCTTTGCCTTGCCTTGCCTTGCCTTATATCATTTCTGTAAGGAAATGCCCTTTGCCTTGCCTTGCCTTGTGGGGAAATTTGTATTTATTGTGTTTTGTGTTATATTATGGAAAAGAAGAAATTTTTAGATCTGATATAAGTTTATTGGAGTTCAAAACGTGTCATTGATTTCCTTCCTAGAGCATCTTTTAATGAAATTTGCGATGAATATGCTAGAATTTCATTTGCATAGACAGTATTTTTCGAACAACCTGGATTTTTTTTATTATTATTTTTGGCTTGTTGTAATGATGGATATTTCTCAGTGCAGCTGATGCAAAGGATTGCATGCAGAATGTTCAGGCTGTTAAATATGCTGAAGAAGCCTGCTACAATGGCACATTGATAATTAAGGCATTCAGTTCTGGTCTGGAAATAGGAGCATGTAACTGGACTATAAGTGGTCCAAAAAGAAACATCACTTGTCTTTCCAGCTCAGTCTTTGTCTCTGCTCATGCAATGAATTTTGATTTCCATGCTCTTCAGGGAAGTGATCTAATTTTATATTCTGATTTTTCATTCCTGAATGTGACGGAAGACCTTGAGGATGATAATTGTTCTGGTCCATCTACCCACAATTTCTCAACTCTCGGGTATTTCTACTTTACACATCTCTAACTATATATCAAGCTGGACTATTTATATATTTTTTATAGCGTCACTGCGGCCAAAAATTACATTGAGATCAAATTCCTGGAAATGTTGAATAAAAATTTCTCAGTTTCATTTAGTGGCAGTGATACCAATGATGATTGGGAAGAAATCACTGAATCTTTGCTTAATACTGATGAGAGTTTAGAAGAGATGGAGAAATTAGCTTTTATATGCTCATGTGCCATGGATTCTGTCAAGGCTGGAGGTTCAGTGCTTATTCCCATTGGACGGCCTGGGATTTTTCTGCAGCTTTTGGAGCAGATGTCTTTCTCCCTAGAATCTTTGACTTTGAAGGTATAGTATCATTTATTCTGAAACTCTCTTTTTTGTGACTATACAAGTGACTTAAACTTTCCCTTGAATGTTAGATGGGGTGGCTTGTTTTAGTTGTTCACCACGATAAAGAACCAATACTGCAACAAAAAGTGAACATTTACTAATTTGACTGGGTAATCTATTTATGCTACAAAGTATAGTTTCGGTAAATAGTTCGATGCCTAGGTTGTTGATTGTCACCACCTAAGGGGTCACCCACTTGATGATTCAGGTTGTACTTTTGCTTTACCCTATCAGCATTACTCTTGGCCATGCCACTTGTTGATTTGGAATGGTTGAGGTCCCAAATAGCTGCGGACTCATGGCAGAAAAAAAAATTGGTGATCTTTGCAATTACTTATCCTTCTTGTTGACATGTCGGTCTGAAGGGGTTGTAGTTATGTCTAGGCGACTTCAACTGTACTAATCCAACCACTGGGGGGTTTAAATGGTTATTGGTGCTTGCACTGCACAACTACACAATTATTATCATTGTTCTTATACCTTTGGATCTACATGCTTAAAATTACCTTTTTTAAAATTTTTATTTTATTTATCTATTTTTATTTTTTATTTTTTGGGTTACTCATTTATACTTCTGAATGGAAGATATACTCAATGGCCAGAGTTATGAGCTCAATAATTTTGATTAGTTAGGAGCAAGCTACGTTGTTGCCTCGGCACCCAAAAGTTGTAGTCAGTTCCCTTTAATCCGTGTTAATTAAAGGGAAAAAGTGAGTAATGGAAGTCTTTTGGAAGAAAATTTAGGTCAAAATATCCTAATTGGTGTAAAGAGGGAGTTCCTGTGAGCACCAAGGCTCGCAAGAACAAGAAAACAGGCAAGGGTTGCGCTGTTGCCGAAGACCAGGACAAGACAACCTCGCGAGAGACGACAAGGACTTGTGAGGATACGGGGTTCAAGGAGAACCTCTAGAGGGGCTGGTCCTCCTCAGTGGGCATGTCTTAGTTTTCTAAGATAACTCCTACCCACGGAGGGCAGGAGGCTTAAGGTAGACTCTCGGAAAATCCCAAGTCACGAGAGAGTACACTTGACTGAAATAGCATGGCGTGGCTCTAGTGAGATTACCCAAGAATACTTTGCTAAATCAGTAGACTCACTGGGAGAGGTGTTGTCGAGGTAGTTGTCTTTGCTATAGCCTGCAAATCCGGATAGTACTCTCCACAGAAGGCACCACAAGAGCTTTCCACCGGTTTTGCTTCACAAGAAGGATTGGTAACATGTCATTGTCGGCACAAACGATGCTGTGCCACAGCCTGTGCGGCTATGTTGTCACATCGGTGCGTGTGGGGTCATCATCCTTCAACAGGAAATTGGGTTGTTGAGGCATGGTGGATATCAAAGAAGGGCTTGTCAGACTGGAGCACAGGTGGCTCACTAGGGTCATAACAGGGGGACTCACGAGGGTCACAAAAGTTACTCGCAGGGGTTTCATATGGGTGCTCCTGGGCTGACCAGAAGGAATAACATAATCTACACGTGGCGCAATAACATGTGCCACGTAGGATGATAACTGTGAAGGATCTGCGTCCTAAGCCTTATAAATATCCAGGGTACTTGTGATGTAGGGAGACACAGCATTCAAGGGCCCCTTCCATCTGATATTCCTTTTGTCTTCTTTCTCTCCCAATCCTCTGCTCTAAAATTTCCTTTACAGTTTTCTAGGTAGTCCCGAGTGTGACCTTTATCCAATTAATCCAAACACGAGACCCCCTTTACAATTGGCAGGGATAATATTCTAAATTTTGTTTTTATTTTATTTCATTTTTCACCTCCAAGTCATGTTCCCTAAATTATAATCATTTTGCTTGTTCTGCAGGTGCCCATATTTATTATCTCTTCTGTAGCAGAAGAATTATTGGCATTCTCCAATACGATACCAGAATGGTTATGCAAGCAGCGACAAGAAAAAGTACATATATTGAGTGCCTTATAAAAGCAGAATTGTCTGGTTTACAAACTTAATAATTTCTTTGTTGTTTGGTCTTGCAGCTTTATTCTGGCGAGCCATTGTTTGCACATGTAGAGCTTATAAAAGAGAAAAAGCTTCATATGTTTCCTGCAGTTCTTTCTCATAAACTATTGTAAGATATTTCCTTCTCTTCAGATGTAAGAAAATCACTTGCTAACATAGCTGTACAGTATTGTATCCAAGAACATTGATATATCACAAGAAACACTTTCTTCTAAAAATGCATTGAAAAAGAAATGCATCCAAACCACCCCTGGAGGTTACTTTTGCATGCACTGTCAACTTGTGCTTGTGATTACCTTATTTTGGTCTGTTCTCTCACCCCTAAGAACTGCTCTTTCTGTGCACAGAACAATTTGGCAGGAACCATGCATAGTATTTTGCCCTCACTGGAGCTTGCGGTTTGGACCTGTTGTTCATTTTCTTCGACGATGGCGTGGAGATCATAACTCTTTACTTGTTATGGAGGTGCCAATTCAATCCTTGAACTACCCTTTTGCCCAATGAATTATCCTAGCGTGTTATGTCTAAAATTCAGCTTTATTTTGTACAATTGGGATAGATGTTTAGTAAATCATTCAATCATTGCACATTCTGCAGGAAGGAGTGGATGCAGATTTGGCCCTCTTACCTTTCAAGCCAATGGCAATGAAAGTCTTGCAATGTTCATTTCTATCTGGAATAAAGTAAGGATTACTCCTTTTTCTTTTATAAATTGTCCACTTTGTGTATTTTATTGATTTCAATTTTAAGCTCATTCTCTCCCCCATCCTCCTCTGTATGTGCATTTATGTAGTGTGTGTGTGTGATTTTTGTCCATATGAGTCATGAATACATCATTACTTAGTGTGGTCCCCGTTAATTGAGGGTGCTGGGAGTGGTAGACTGGATGCAAAACTATCCTTTGGCATTTATTTGCACAAAGTAGCTGCTCTCAAATAAATTATGCATATGTAATTGTATATTGCATTTGGATCTTGAAAGTTAATTCAAAGGCCTTTGTATCACTTTTTCTATGTAGACGTTTTATAAGTAGAAATTGAAATTTAAAATTTTTATGTACCATAAATAAACTGCGAGATGAGAGCATCCTGTCCGCTAATATACAGTCTTATGCACCAATTGGTGATCTTTGTTTTCTTTATGATACCGATTCTTTTGGACATTATTTGGGAAGAAGTCAAATTATCGCATATACAAGGAAAAAACTAAACTACCAATATACAAGGAAAAGACTAAACTACCAATATACAAGGAAAAGACTAAACTACATATATACAAGGAAAAGATAAAACCAAAATATTCTCTAACTAGATCTATTTGAACTTGGCTTTGAGACACTAAATGACCTGGCCTCTAAGTAGATACTTCATGTGAGCAAGAGAGTGTTTTGTATATATATACATATTATGATTTTATTCATATTTATTCTGTCTTAGGCTGTTAGGCTCAATTTTTTTCTGTTAGTTTTTAGGACTTGCTGCAGTATTAAGAATTACAGAATGCAACTTCTCCACTGAAAACCTCTCTCTGGTTTAAATATTGCTTCTATATATTATTGGTGTTTTCGTCCTTTGTTTTTCAGGTTGCAGAAAGTTCAACCTTTGCTGAAGACATTACAGCCAAAGTTTGTCTTGGTAATCATTCAAACTTTTATTTATGAACCTAGCTTTTCTTCGTACTGACACGATGTTTCATGATATCTAATTTGCTATGCAACATACCACTTTTATTAATGAACTCCTTTTTTCTTCTCAACTCTTGATAGGTCCCTGAAAATTTGAAGCTTTATTTTGGGTCTTCAAGTCCAAGAGAATTCTCATTCATTCATTACTGTGAAAACGAATTGCTGCATATACCAAGCTTGAAGGACAGTTCTGAGTTTGATGTTGCGACAGACTTGGCTTCACAGCTCCATTGGACAAACGCAAAAAAGAAAAACATGAATATTGCAAGATTAAAGGGAGAACTTTTTATGGAGCACAGCAAGCATCGGCTACTGCCTGGAAATGAACAAATAACTTCCTCACAGACGAGGAGGCCACTGCTGCACTGGGGCACGCCTGATTTGGACAGTCTTCTGACAGCATTGCAGAAGATGGGAATCAGTGGATCAGTTGAACGAGGCACGGGTGGTGTTGAATCAGAAAATGCTTTTATTGTACGTGTTATTGAGCCCAACAAGGCTTTGATTGAAGTCGATGCAACTAGTACTGTTATTAGCACTTCTGATGAGAACTTAGCCTCCCTCATTTCTGAGGCCATATGTAGCTGTTTAAATGGCATTTAGTAGAAGGAAATCCCCTTTTTTCTTATATATTTTATTTTAGTACTTTCTCTCCATATTTTGAGAGAGATGTAAAAATTGCATATGGTTAGCTCTTTAGTAATTACTGTTGTATTGTTACTTGATGCTCATTTAGAAAAGCTGGGTTGTTTTATATAAACTAGTCATTTGGTTACAATTGAACTCATTTAGTTGGAGTTACAACAGCTCTAGATATCAAAATGTATCACAAGTGGCCTATCCTTGGTCTCACTTGTGAAGAATTGGTCCTCAAGATGCACACATCACCTTGTAAACATGAACAAATATATTGATTTTGGTTCCCATTTTTTTAAAAATTAAATTTACCGAAAAAATAAATATTGATTTTCATGTGCCAATTTTGTCTTCAATCGTTTTATCATCTAATATATAATTGAGTAGGAGCAATTATCATAATTTTTTTTTTTCCCCCTTCAGGGTTGTGGGTCAAATCTTGTTTTTCAACAATGGTGGTAAGATTATGTTTCTTTTTTATACTCAATGGGGGAGTGGGATAGGCTTAAAGGTTTCTTTCTTATCATCTCTCATACCTAAGATGCTATAGAAATTGAAAATGTTTCGGTGATTATGCAAAAGTTTAAATTTTTGTTTCTATCTGAGAAAGAGTTTATAGAATCAAACTGCTAACTTCGACAAAACAAAATAAGTTTTTTGTTGTATAATGTTTTGAAGAGTAACCGAAAGCATGTTTGGTAATGTCTATTTATTAAAATAAATAAATAAATGAATTGGAAGCAAAAATATAAATATATGATTGATAAAAAAATGTCGCAGGTTTGGTAAAAGTAGAGTATATATAAAACACCAAATTGGTTTTGACTTTTGATCAACATTCACAAAACGTTTTGCTACTGTATGAAACAAAATAGTTTTTTCCATACACACTTTTTTCATTGTTTAATACTCGACAAAAACGAAAACACCAAAAATAAAACAGGTACCAAAAACGTGGTAAAAAATCACTAATATGATTCTCTTAGGGGGCAATTTTTCGGAAAAGCAACCAAATAAAAATTGTTGAATCATAGTGTCATAATCGTGAGAGAGAAAATATGAAACATGTCATTTGCTAGCACAAATTTTTTTTTCCCAGAACATATATATATTTTTTCCTTTTCACAATTTTCTTGCTTCAAATGGTTGATGTAGTTTTAGAATAACTTGGAGCATTAATGTTCCATATTTATTTTTTTGCATGCCATGTTCTGGAACCAAGAAAAGCATCTCTTCCGATATTGAAATAAAAAAATATAAATCAACCACCAAGGTTAATAAATAGCGAGGAGTGGCAAATTACGACCCGATCCGTCAATACGATTCGAACGCGACACAAGACAAGTGGGTTTGAGTTGATCTTAAAAGGGTTCGGGTCATAAACAAGTTGACAAGTTGATTAACACGTTTACTTAACCCTGTAGAGTTAGGTTGAGTGATTTAACCCGTGTAATTCGTTTATGACTTGTTTTAACTCAACATGTGATAATCTTGTATATAACATATGTAATATGTTACCTGTTTAAACCCAATTACTATAGATAGTTAAGTCTTTTAATATAAACCTTATTTATGCCTTTTGATTTTTCTTTTGGTTAATTGTGACAATTTATTATTATTTGATTAAATATTAAATGTCTCATTTTGGTCAACAGACTAACACATTTATCCGTTTAATAAACAGGTTGGGTTCTTATTGAGGGTCCTGGATACGATTATTAAATGAGTTGGGTTTAGTATAATACCTTTGTATCGACACGACACGATTATGACCCACGAACACGAATTGCCACCCTTAATATAGTCCAATTATAATATATATATATATATATATATATATATATATAACTTGAGAAGACCCCTAAGCCCAACCTATAATTGCTTCCAATAGGCCCAGTGGCACAGACAAAAAATTAAATACCAAGTAGGCCCACAAGGCAAAAGGCCCAATAGGCTGAATATATCCCTAATTCAGCTATTGGAATATAAACCCTAAGGCTATGCTTGGTACGATGAAAAAGAAAAGAAAGATAACATTAATCATGAGAGAAATGAAAGGGAATAGAATGGAAAGATAATTTTAACCTCCTATTTGGTTGATTAATGAAGAAAAAATATATAAATATAATCATGTTTGGAAAAGAAAAGAAAGAAAACTATTTTAATGAATTTATTATTATACCTTTTTATCTTTTAAAAGATAAATTTATAGATTTAACTATGTAATATAAAAATAAATAATAATTTGACAAAAAGATAGACTAATATTATGTAAAATGAATAAAAAATATGAAACAATTATTTCAGTGATAAATTATATAAACTTCTCACAAATAGAATACAGAAACAATTATTTATGGGCCTAAAAATTTATAGGCCCATGGATGATGGGCCACCAGAAAAAAAAATAATTTTAGGGCAAATTATTTCAGCCTCCCCAGTCGGCCATCTACGTCTATGGTTCTCAACTAACTTCCTCTCCCTCTCTCTCTCTCTCTCTGCAACTGCAAACTACAAAATCTACCAGAAACAGAAGTTGAAAACCCATATATTTCAGTTTATCTATTCGTCTGCAAGAATCAAAAGTTCAAAACCCATATCGGCATATCAATTCTGATTGTTCAAAAAATCAAAACCCATATCTTTCAGTTTCCATCGCCCGCTGTTCCAGTTCGGGTTCGCCGTTCGCAAGCTTCAGCCGCTGTCTCTCAACTCTCAAGCTTGCCCCCCCTCTCTCTCTCTGCAACTGCTAACTTGTATGTATGGATTTTGTTTTAATTTTTTTTTCTAAATCAACTAATCAAGCTCTGTAATTCTTGTTTTGCAAACTAAATCCTATTTGGTGAAATTTTTTATGATCTTTTTTATATAATTTTTTTAGGGCAAATCATTTCAGCCTCCCCAATCGCCTCCATCTCTATTATCGTTCTCAAGTCTGAACTTACCCTCTCTCTCTCTCTGCAACTGCAAACTACGAAATCTACAAGAATCAGAAGTTCAAAACCCATATGTTTCTGTTTATCTATCTGTCTGCAAGAATCAAAAGTTCAAAACCTATTCCCTATATCAAAACCCATATCGGCATATCATTTCAGATTGTTCAAAAAATCAAAACCCATATCTTTCAGTTTCCATCGCCCGCTGTTCCAGTTCGGGTTTGCCGTTCGCAAGCTTCAGCCACTGTCTCTCTTCCCCCCCCCCCCCCCCCTCTCTCTCTGCAACTGCTAACTTGTATGTATGGGTTTTGTTTTAATTTTTTTTTTATTTTAAATCAACTAATCAAGGTCTGTAATTCTTGTTTTGCAAACTAAATCCTATTTGGTGAAATTTTTTACGATCTTTTTAATATAATTTTTTTTTTTTACAGTATAAAGTAACAAAATTTGCATTCCATTTTGAGGTAATCACCGTAATCTACATTTTATTTCACCAAAACAATTTTTTAATTTTATTTTATTTCTATAACTTCTATTTCTGTTTTTTTTGTTGTCAATTATGTCTAAAAGAAAATTTGAATCTGGGCATGAAAAAAGAAGAAAAAAAAAAAAAATCTGAATTGGATTGGATTAGAAATCTGCGGAGATTGAATCTGAAACAATTTTTATCAACTCTCAAGCTTGCCCCCCTCTCTCTCTCTCTCTCTCTCTGCAACTGCTAACTTGTATGTATGGGTTTTGTTTTAAATTTTTTTCTAAATCAACTAATAAAGGTCTGTATTTCTTGTTTTGCAGACTAAAATCAAGTGTAATCTTGATTTTGTGTAAGGGTATAAATTTGGCATCAGAAATAATACATCAAGCCTCTTCTCTTTCCTTCCATTTCTTCCCTTTTTTAGGTGGATAAGAAAGTTACTATTTAAGCCTTGTGATATCTTTCCAAAACCATCCCTTTCCTTTCAACCATTTATGTCCCTCCATCACCTTTCCTTTCCTTTCCTCCCTTTTCCATTGCACCAAACTGACAGTAGTTTTCTGCCCCTCTCTTTCTGTAAAAATGTTAATTCGAACGCAGCAATGGAGGCTGAAGAATAGTGTTGTTCATTTTGACGATAAAAAACTGGTACAGTTTGATTACTATCGCATGATAGTAAAAGTTCAGACAGTTAACTACAACCATGCCTTGGTGGAAGAAGAGAATTACACAGTGACTAAACAATTTGACCCAATTCCGACCACGTCGTTGGTGGATGAAAGATGGTTCTCTGAAATCCTCCATCCATTCCTCTCTACCGTCGGAATCACCAGGATTTCTGACCATAATATTGACAGAATTCTATCTATTTGTCGCGCAATGACGAGTCTTGACACAATCAGTAGCAGTCCTACTGCGGTGCCCGTTCTTGACATGAAGATTTTGGTTGTGATAAAGCTGGCTGAGACACAAATGAGGAGGGCTTTGCCGGCAAGCAAATCATCCGTTGAGGCATTAGAGACAGAGATGCTATTTGACGGTTCTTGTTCAATGGATCAGTGTATCATCTGCTTGGAGAAGTTTCGGGTTGGTTTTGATATGGTTAGTCGATTGCCGTGCAATCATATCTACCATGGAGATTGCATTTCCCGCTGGCTAGAGACCAGTCATTTTTGCCCGGTTTGTCGCTTTGAGTTTCCAACTGATCCCTTGTAATGTAATGTAATTTTTTTATGATAAATTGTAATTTCTGTGATGTTTTCCTGTTTGTTTCATTTTTTCCCCCTTTGTTTTGTAATATCTCTGAGGGAATAAAAATACATACTTTTCTTATTCTCATTTACTGTCTTGTGAGTATATTTATATGAGAAGAGGATGCAATTATATGATGATAGTATGTAATGAATGATGCTTCCCTGTGCAGATGATATGGGACTAATTAGCTCTCAAATTTCTTTCCATCTCTCCAAGGAAATGATCTTACTTTATATTCTGATTTCTTGTTAGTGAATGTCATGGAAGATGTTGAGTTGCTCTGTTCCGGCAACTAACAATTTCTCAAATCTCGTGTATTGATTATGTAATTCATAATAAGAGACTGATAATTTGTTTTCACATAACTTGCATCATTTGTGTATATTGTCTGAAGTAGTTTGGTTTGAGCTCATCCCATTTATATCATTTCATGTAATGGATGAGCTGACCTTTTGCTGAAGACTTAATTCTATGTTTAATTATTATTGCATGTACTGTATTTATTCTTTTGACAAAATTTGTGTATTGTGATTGATATTATCATGAAAATTCTGATGTGTTGATATAAACTATAAAAGGTTGCTATAGCCTATCGTTTTCATTGGTTGCACTGTAAATTTGTTTTCCTATTACACATTGAATTTGAGTGAAAATACACGTTGTTCTTTGTTCTGAATGGAGCCTGCAGCTTGGACCTTCCTGCTCATTTTTCTTGGACAAGGTGTGGGGATCAAAACTCTTTCCTTGTTAATGAGGTTTTTAATTTATTCTTTAAACTACCTTTTTACACAATCCTAGTGTATTATGTGTTAAATTCAGCTTGAAGTTATACAATTGAGAAGAAGTGGATGCAGCTGTCTTACCTTTCAAGGTGATGGCAATAAAGGCCCTGCAATGTTCATTTCTTTCTGGAATAAAGTAAGGACATTTTCCCCAAATTTTGTCTATTGTCAAGTATTAAATTGACTTTCCATTTCACAGGAATATGCTTGTTCTCTCTCTATATATATTTATATATATTGAGCGCATGATTTTAGAATTTATTGATTTTCCTGGTGGAGTTGAATATAGTTCCCTTTGTTGTTTTAAGGCTTAGCTTAGCACAATGCAGCTTTTCCATTGGAATACCTAACTCTGGTTTATATTTTGCTACTATAGGTCATGTCTTGCTTTAGATTCAATTTTTTTTTTTTTTTTTTTTTTAATTTACTGAATATATTGCTGCGACAATTTGTTTGTCGTTCAAATTCACACAATCTTTCATGATATATAGTTTGCTATCTAATCTTTATTTATCTACTTAGTTTGAACACATATTTGCTTCTCTGCTCAAATAATCTGGAGAATATTAGAAGCGGTATTTTGACTCTTCAAGTGCAAATCAATTATGATAATTCTTCTATTTTACATTCTGTTGATCCAAATAAGGCTTGGATTGAAGTCGATGCAACGAATATTGATATTAGCACTTCGGATGAGAATTTAGAGTCCCTCATTTCTGAAGCCATATGTAGCAGTTTGGACAGCATTTTGTTGAAAGAACAAAAGCATCCCTCAGGATTCGTAGCATATTTATGCATGAAGCTACTCTAAATAAGGTTCTTGAACAACATTTATGTAGTTAGCCTTAAATTTTGTGGGCAACATGCGGATTTGTTGAAAGAGAAACATCAAAAGCAACCGAAGTTTATTGATAAATTTAAGAAATGTAGGCATGTGTAGGTGTTTTCATCCGAGCAAGTTCAAAAGGAAGTCTTCGTGGTCTCCTAACGTATTGCTAATGACATGTTGCTGAGGCTGGTTTAGTACAATTTAAATTATCTCTCCTCTGATTTTCATCATTTCAATTTCATATCAAATTGTTGGCAATAACATGTGCCACTTAGGATGATAACTGTCAAGGATCTATGTCAGAAGCCTTATAAATATCCAGGGTACTTGTGACATAGGGAGATAGAGCATTCAAGGGCCCCTTCCATCTGATACTCCTTTTGTCTTCTTTCTCCCCCAATCCTCAGCTCTGAAATTTCCTTTACAGTTTTCTAGGTAGTCCCGAGTGTGACCTTTATCCAATTAATCCAAACACAGGACCCCCTTTACAATTGGCAAGGATAATATTATAAATTTTGTTTTTATTTTATTTCATTTTTCACCTCCAAGTCATGTTCCCTAAATTATAATCATTTTGCTTGTTCTGCAGGTGCCCATATTTATTATCTCTTCTGTAGCAGAAGAATTATTGGCATTCTCCAATATGATAACAAGAATGGTTATGCAAGCAGCGACAAGAAAAAGTACATATATTGAGTGCCTTATAAAAGCAGAATTGTATGATTTACGAACTTAATAATTTCTTTTTTGTTTGGTCTTGCAGCTTTATTCTGGCGAGCCATTGTTTGCACATGTAGAGCTTATAAAAGAGAAAAAGCTTCATATGTTTCCTGCAGTTCTTTCTCATAAACTATTGTAAGATATTTCCTTCTCTTCAGATGTAAGAAAATCACTTGCTAACATAGCTGTACAATATTGTATCTGAGAACAATGATATATCGTAAGAAACATTTTTTTCTAAAAATGCATTGAAAAAGAAATGCATCCAAACCACCCCTGGAGGTTACTTTTGCATGCACTGTCAACTTGTGCTTGTGATTACCTTATTTTGGTCTGTTCTCTCACCCCTAAAAACTGCTCTCTCTGTGCACAGAACAATTTGGCAGGAACCATGCATAGTATTTTGCCCTCAATGGAGCTTGCGGTTTGGACCTGTTGTTCATTTTCTTCGACGATGGCGTGGAGATCATAACCCTTTACTTGTTATGGAGGTGCTAATTCAATCCCTGAACTACCTTTTGCCCAATGAATTATCCTAGCGTGTTATGTCTAAAATTCAGCTTGATTTTGTACAATTGGGATAGATCTTTAGTAAATCACCCAATCATTGCACATTCTGCAGGAAGGAGTTGATGCAGATTTGGCCCTCTTACAATGTTCATTTCTATCTGGAGTAAAGTAAGGATTACTCTTTTTTCTTTTATAAATTGTTCACTTTGTGTATTTTATTGATTTCAATTTTAAGCTCATTCTCTCCCCCATCCTCCTCTGCATGTGTGTGTATGTAGTGTGTGCTTGTGATTTTTGTCCATATGAGTCGTGTGTACATCATTACTTAGTGTGGTCCCCGTTAATTGAGAGTGCTGGGAGTGGTAGATTGGGTGCAATGTGGCTGCTCTGAAATAAATTATGCATATGTAATTGTATATTGCATCTTGATCTTGAAAGTTAATTCAAAGGCCTTCATATAACTTTTTCCATGTACAAGTAGAAATTCAAAATTTAAAATTTTTATGTACCATAAATAAACTGGGAGATTAGATTATTATTATTATGCACCAGTTGGTGATCTTTTTTTAGTTTATGATACCGATTTTTTTGGACATTATTTGGTAAGAAGTCGTTAAATTATCTCATATACAAGGAGAAGACTAAACTACGCATATACAAGGAAAAGACTAAACTACCTATATACAAGGAAAAGATAAAACAAAGATATTCTCTGACAGATACCACCGAGTCATTGACCTAGTTGTAACTTCTCCTCCCCTAATGGGATGGGAGGGGTTCGACGTCCAAGCAGAGAAAAGCTGTGTGATTATGTGTGAGTTGTTTACTTAACCAAAAGAAAAAAAAAGTCACCAAATTAGATGGCATAAAACTTTTATCTTGTCATTTAAGTCATTTTTGGATGACAACTATATCTACCTGAAATTGTCTTTGAGGCACTTAATGACCCGGCCTCTAATTAGATAATTTAGAGTGTATATTTATAATGATTTTATTCATATTTATCCTCTTTTAGGCTCGATTGTTTTCTGTTAGATTTTTAGGACTTGCTGCAGTTTAAGAATTACAGAATCCAACTTCTCTGCTGAAAACCCATATCTGGTTTAAATATTAGCTTCTATATCATTGGTGTTTTCATCCTTTGTTTTTCAGGTTGCAGAAAGTTCAACCTTTGCTGAAGATATTACAGCCAAAGTTTGTTTTGGTAATCATTCAAACTTTTATTTAGGAGCATAGCTTTTCTTTGTACTTACACGATGTTTCATGATATCTCTAATATGCTACGCAACATACCACTTTTTTTAATGAACTCCTTTTTTCTTCTCAACTCTTGATAGGTCCCTGAAAATTTGAAGCGTTATTTTGGGTCTTCAAGTCCAAGAGAATTCTCATTCATTCGAATTGCTGCATATACCAAGCTTGAAGGACAGTTCTGAGTTTGATGTTGCGACAGACTTGGCTTCACAGCTCCATTGGACAAACTCAAAATGGAAAAGCATGAATATTGCAAGATTAAAGGGAGAACTTTTTATGGAGCACAGCAAGCATTGGCTACTGCCTGGAAATGAACAAATACCTTCTTCACAGACGAGGAGGCCACTGCTGCACTGGGGCACGCCTGATTTGGACAGTCTTCTGACAGCATTCACTACAACAAAAATGATTATTCACCGCATTTTATTTACTACATTTAAGCTTTAAAGCTTGTAAAAAAGTAAAAATTTCATTTTTGAATCTAAATTTTATATTAAAAACTAAATGTTAGTTTCAAATAAATTTTTAAAAGAAGCCATTAAAGGACGTCTCCAATGGCGTCAAACCCTCCAAATCTGTGAAGAAGAAGAAGGCACCAGAAAACGAAGATACAGTCGGAGGTGAAGCGCTCGATAGCCTCCTCCTTGTTCACTCAGATCTGTCTGCTCTCATTCATCAGGTATGTTCGAGAGAGAGAGAGGTGTGTATTTTGCTGATAATTTGTTCAATTGCGAAATGAGGAACCCTAGTTTTGTCTGAAACCTTTCAGAAAACCTTGTGCTGCGGTGTGACAGATCGAAGCCCTAGGTGTGTTTTTTTAGGGTTTGCTTCTATTAGATTCTTTTCTCTTCAATTAAATTATGCTTAGTTTTTCGTTCTGTGATTTATCGGCTGCTTTGTTATTCATCGTTATCCTAGTTGTTACTTTTCTGTTTATTATAGTTATTTATTCTGATTACCGTCTTCCAAATTTGATTCGTACAACCCCTACATTTTTTTTGCAAATCATTTTAAGCTTCAGTTATGGCTTTGATTAGTGTCAGGTTGATTTTGCTTATTTCTAGTTAGAAGTAGACGGAGTATTGATCATTTTAAAAATTGAGGTAAAAACATGAAAAATAAAAATGTCATTTTTGTGTTCCCATAACTCCAAAATAGACTATGCCAATAGTGTATGCACATGAATGTGAAAATTGACCCCCAAAAAAAAACAATGTACGAACGTGGCATGTCTTTTGGGTTGATTATGTGCTCTGTTTAGAATGAATAGCAAATGATAGTTTCTGCTTTGTTCGTACATATGATTCTTTTACATTACTTGATCTAATATTCATTGCACTCACATTGGAAACTGTCTTAGTCAATCCACATATAATTAAATTCAAATCGAAAAATATTGATGGAAAATATTCATGACAGCTAATAAGAATTGTAATTCTACCACATTAATATGAACTCTGCCCTATAATATTCCCTTGCAAGTTGTGACAGATGTTAGAAAATCTGTAGTTAGAAACCCCCAATAACATATAATATAAGTATTTCTTGAAATGCTGCTGGAAATATTAAATCCAGCTGTTGACAGTATTTTCGACAAAATGTCGCTATAATGTTTCACTTTGGTATTTCTGTATTGCTTGGCAGTTGATATAATATATGTAATATATGTGTTGTTATTTTTTCATTTTTTTCCCACACCAATCTGCTTTGTAACCGTTGGCTATTGATTCTTGAATTGGATATCTAGGTTACAAAATGTATCGAGATTGGATTGCCAGAGCTCATATTTCTAGTTATTTTTTCCCAGGTAATGTTTAATTGTGTATTGCTTTTCATTGCAATGGTCTAGGTTTCGAGCTTTATACATTTTTTTTTTCTCCTTCATTAGATCCTAAATCATCTTAAGCAGATTGGTGTTTTGTCTCATCAGCGTCACACATCTTAATGTTTTCAGTTTATACCTCATCTAATGAGTGGGGAGAGGCATGTCTTTGACCGCTTTGCTGTTATATTCTCGGTGGTGATTGTTTGGATTTATGCTCACCTACTTACTGTGGGTGGGGAATATAAGAACTCACCTATGAAAACTCAATTAAGCTGCCGAACAGATTGTGCTAGACTTATAGGTGCTGCTCCATCGTAAGGCTAGTTGTTTATCTTCTAATTGATGTTTATGATTCCCGTTATGATGCTTTATGTGATCATGAGTTCCAGACAGTATATCTATAAAAGTATATTCAAATAGGAAAAATCCATGCTAGTTAGCCTACTTTATGCAATAAGCTAGAATAAAGGCTTTGGTGAATGCAAGGTTTAGCTGTTCTCCTGATAACTTAAGGGTGCATGGAAAACCATTGTGGGGTGTCACTGTTGATAACTGTGACTTGTTTTTCTTATGGACATTTTCAGGATTAGAGTGCCATATCCATTTGAATGGGGAGTTCCCACATTCTTGTAGAGGTATTGTGCTTGTTAGTTGAAGCCTGAGATACATCATTAGACATTTGGATTGTTTTTCAGGGAACCATCAACTTGTCACTTCATATTGTTGTTTCCTGTTATGTATCCGTTTCGGTATTTATGTGCTTGTGTCGTGTTTAGTTTCTCTTCTTATGCAGCTGGTCCCATTCCCTAGAATGGAGGTTGGTTAGGTTAGGTAGCTTGATAGTTAGCGTAAAGCTGTAAAACTTTTGTTTATGAGTTGAGTTGTTTCTGCAAAATTTGTATGAAATATCTTATCCAAAGTTGTATTGACTTTCGAAGCAGGCACACTATTGCAGAATCTTTTTGATATTTCTATTGCGACACTTTCCTCCCTGTTAATGGCATAAACCCTCACTTTTCTACATCCATCTTTGAACCTTATTACGAACCTAATTTATATAATACTTGTATTCTATCTCCATGCAATTTTTTGTGTTTCTTAACCATTCTCCAAGTAGAGTTCACATTGCCTAGTTCATTTCCGGATTCTTTTACTTACACACACACACACACACACACACACATATATATTTGTTGTTGTTTTAAGTATGAAGAGTTTGATGCTTTCATAATTGGCATTTTGTACTTTGCATAGCCACATCGATTCACTGGTTTCTTTGGCAGTTTTTAATGTGGATAGCTTTGCGAATTTATTGATCTCTTATGTACTTTTGAAATGTCAACAGTCCACTGGTGCCTTCATTGCTGTGTCAAGGCATGCAAGTGCAACTCCTTTGCCACCTTCTATTCTCAGTCGCGGAGTTGGTTGGCAGGTAAAATTGACTTAGTGATAATTTTGTCTGTATTTTTGCCTTCATTAACACCTCAATGCTAAGCCTAAAAGACTCTAGATATGGCGCAATTTTCCACACTCAATTATTACATGGGCTGCTTCCAAAATGAATAATTAGAATTAATGGCCTACTCAATATTGTTGAACCTCCCCCCAACTAAAAAGAATGGTTCACGCGTAATTTAACTAAAATATTCATCTGACATAGTAGTGGCATTTAACTAAAAAGATGGCTCTTTGTCTTGAAATGATGGGAAACTAATCTGCCATGTCACTTTGAATGTGATTCTTTTGGTCATGAATTATGTTCATAAAGTACTTCTCCAAATTTGACTCTGTAATTGTTAATGTCCCGTGTGTTCTAATCATCTTAATAATGTTCTTTATCGAAGGGAGTGGGCATATTGTTCTCTGGAATATTTGGAACCGGGAATGGATCCTCGGTATCAGTGTAAGATTCTTGTGCAATAAATTTGTAAATTGTGTTGCAAATTTTCATTCTTAATCAGCAGGGGAATAAAACTTGATTTTTCCTCCTATTCTACAGTGAAAATGCTGGTTTGTTAGCATTGACACGTGTTGGCAGCCGAAGAGTTGTGCAGATATCTGCTGGTTTCATGATATTCTTTTCCATACTTGGTAAGTTAGGTGTTATGATGCCCAAATAATGCAAATAATCCATAGTTTAAGTGAACCCATAGTAAATAAACCTTCATTTCCAAGTACATTTGTTAAACATAATTTACTATTCATGGAAATTCGGAGCTGTCTTTGCCTCAATCCCAGCACCAATCATTGCTGCTCTGTATTGCCTTTTCTTAGCCTACGTGGGTATGTGTTACCAAATGTAGAAGTCCCTATTTTATTATAATTTTTCTTCTCGAATCATGAAGCAATTCATGTTCAATAATTTTTCTTGAATTTGCGTTCATAGCAGTCGATCCTTGAAGTTGCTCTTCATTTTTTTGATTCCTGAATTTGCGTTTCATTTAACGATTGTGCGCTTAATTTGAATCTCTACATTCTTGATGATTCATAGCAGTCGATTCTTGAAAGAAACTGTAGAAATCTTCTTTGATTAAAATTGTATGATAATGTTGACCACCTATGTATCCTTTAGGTTTTGGAAAGATCAAATTAAGTGCAGTAGTTATGCTTTTAATTTCAAAGTTACGCACTCAAGTTTGTTGCTTTCTTTTTGCTTCATGGTTTCAGTTTGATTATGTGTTGGCATGAGAATTTTGCTCTTAAATTAATAAGATGTTGTATATGCTGCAGAGAATGAGACTGAAGAACTCCGAAAGGGAATCAAAAGCTCCTTCCCTGCAGAATTGTGCTTTCACAAGAACATTTTTACCCTGCATTCTACCCCCTCTGTTTGCCCAGAGCACCAGAGTAAGTTGCTGCTGTACATTTACCACACTCTTCATACATTTTTAGGCCCTTGTAAACATGTTACTGCTGTTGATGCTGGTGGATTTTTATTTGGAATATGCAGGCTTTCGCTTATAAAAATCCACCAACATTTAAGCGTCTGGTATGCTTTTCCAAAAGGTTTCAGTTTGTTGAACATTCTTCTGAGAATATTAGGGTACATTATCCACAAAAATCCTGTGTTCTTTCTTTCTTTCCATCATTTTTTATTTTTCAGTTTATACTAACATTTTGCAACCTAGATATCCAATTCAAACTTTTTTCCATCAAATTCAAATATACGAATTTGGTGTGGGCACAAATCGAAAGTTACAAGAAAGATAAGGGATGTGGGAAAAAATTCACGTGCTGCCGCTCTTATGAAGCCAGACAATGTGAAATCAATGGAAGAATGGATGGAATTTGTTAGAAAACGTTGTTCTAAAGAGTCCAAGGTAAAAATAATCTCTTTAGCTCTGAATTTTTTTAGTTTATGTTTGAGTAATGTTGCTAGTAAGCCTAGTATGCTGCTGAAAAGCAGCATGAAGTCTAATTTCGATTGCTATAAGTTTCATATATCAGCCCAACGACCTTTTTCTTAGTTTATTTAATAGTAAGTGATAGCTGAGCGTTGCGAGTTCAGTTGGGGGAAAATGTTACAATGTAAGACTTGTCCCACATCAAATCCGATTGGAGAAATGTATGAGTATAAATGGGTGGGTATGCAACACTATTCAATAATTTAAGTTTTTGAATAAATGGGTAAGCGTCAACTCGTTACAGTCAACCTCTAGTTTGGACTTCGGAGTGTACTCTTAGGGCCCGTTTGGACAAGATTTTGTTTTTATATTTTCATTTGAAACAAAAATAAAATTTATGTTGTGGAGTGTGTTCATTTATGATTGAAACATGCCTTTGTTATGTAAATTTGTTGTAAAATTTTTGGTGGCAAAAATATTAGAACATGTTCCATAAAAACACATGTAGCATGATTTAATAACAAAATGGTGAATTAGGCATGTTTGGGTTCTATTCACTGCTACATTGTTTTTTTATTAAAAATATTGAGAAGCACCAATTTTTTATTTCAACATTTGCAATAAATGCGATACTATTGAAATGATTGTTACAATATATCAATCGCAACTAAAATGATTCCTTAGTGCTTAGTGCTGTCAAATTTTTATCTTATCTATATGTCCTTTGTATCAACTTAGTCAAATTGAACTGACATATTTTGATCAGTATTATGGTATGTATGATTTTTCTATTAGAAGCCCTCTTTAATATTTGAAATATTATGATGTGATTTGTGTATTATTTTTCATGAACTCTTAGACTAATCATAAAATTAATTTTAAGATACACTCGGTTCAAGTGTGTGTGTGTGTGTATATATATATATATATAGATAGATCCCTATATAAATATATAACAATTTCTAAATTGTGGGCTGATTTCATATAGAAAACTCGGAATCAGGATTGGGTCATTGCATGAATTTTTTTTTTTTTTTTTTTTTGACTAGTTTATCGTAGATCCCTATATATATATATATATATAACAATTTCTAAATTGTGGGCTGATTTCATATAAAAAAACTCGGAATCAGGATTGGGTCATTGCATGAAATTTTTTTTAAAAATTTCATGATAATCACTTTTCACTTCGCTTATTTTCTTTACTTTCACTTTTTGCTAATAATTTATACGGAATATCTAACAAAACAAATCCTATATAAAAATTAATCAAATCTGTAAGTTGAGCCTAGAAAATATGTAAGACTCGTCTCTTAAAAGAAAATGAAACAAAAAAAAATTTAAATCTTACATGAGTCAATTCTCAATCACAACAATGTTAAACACGGTCGTGACAAACATTCCAAAGCCTAACGAATCAGTCTATAATCTCATCATGGTCGCGTGACAAAGCAGATTAATTGAACAGAACAAAGAGCATTGATTAGGTAAAAGACGAAATTGACCAGCCATTTATTAATAGAAGCACCATGAATGAGACCACAAGGACACTTGTCATGACAAATGTCTTACGTGTCCAGCTGCCATTTGACCCAGTGGGGTGGGGGGGGGGGGTTGAGTCCCAAAAAGACTCCTCATCACACTTTCCCAAAAAAAAAAAAAAAAAAAAAAAAAAAAAAAAAGCAACTTTATCACATGAATAAATTAATAATAAATGATTAGTTGCGGCTTTCTTTGATTGGTCATTTCCATTTCATTTTAGCCGCCTCACATCACACAAGAAATTTTCCATCTTGTAGCAGCCATGGAACCTGTCTTGGAACTTATCCTTGGCTTTGCAATATATATATATATATATATATATATATATAAAATATACTCTATATTTTTTTAAATATTATATATAATTTTAATCTTTATCGCAACTCTTTTTAAAAAATAACATAAATACAACTAGGCTCTCTTTGATATGATAAATGAATGAAGTCTTAATCCAAAAGGGTTATTCTAGACAAAAAAAAAAAAAAGATTTGGGCCCAAGTACCAAATAAAGAATCAGGTCTCCCGATCGATTTTTTCTAATAGCAACTATTTTCTTAAAGGTCAGGCGTGTCATTTGCAAACATAAGTCGACCTGATCCGTGTGTCAAGAACTCCTTACACATCCTATAAATTAGTCGAAGCCAAACCTTAGACATCTTGATTTATCTATAAATTTAATTTATACTTTTTTAATTAGTAGTAGCCAAAAAAAAATAGAAAGTGAATTAGCTAGTGAAACATGTTATTTTGTTACATTTTCTTATTTTTTTATATCATTATTGTATTTTATAACTTTAGTTATTAATATAAATAGGTGCCAAATTTTTAAAATTATAAAAACTTCCTATAACAATTGGTATGACCTAATGGACCAAGTATTTGAAGCATTTTACAAGGTGTTACCACAACTAGCAAGGTTATATTCGTAATTTAAAGCACAGCCACTCCCCTATAAAGGCATAGCCTCTTCATACAACCATTCCCATACCAAAGAAACAAAATGGGACGATTTAATCTCTTCATGGTCCTCATCATCTGCCTGGCCGCCGGTGCAGTCGCCGAGCAATGTGGGCGGCAAGCCGGTGGCCGGTTGTGCCCGGGAAACCAGTGTTGCAGCCAGTGGGGCTATTGTGGGACAACCGATGAATACTGCTTGCCTTCCAAGAAGTGCCAGAGTAACTGCAAGCCTAGCGGCGGCGGTGGTGGCGGAGGCGGCGGTGAAGGAGCTTCTAACGTGCGTGCCACGTATCATTACTATAACCCGGAGCAAGTCGGGTGGGATTTGAACGCCGTTAGCGCCTACTGCTCGACGTGGGATGCCGGTAAGCCTCTCGCATGGCGGCGCCGGTATGGGTGGACGGCCTTCTGTGGCCCGGCTGGTCCTCGTGGTCAAGCTTCTTGTGGCAAGTGCTTAAGGGTACGTCAGATATGAAACTCTCTTAATAATATATATATTTATTTATTTATATATTCATACTATTACATATACATACATTGTATAATTTTATACTATATATATATATATGATGTGTATATATAAAATAACATAGATTAATTGTTGACATTTTCCCAACTCTATTCGATTGTCAAGGATATGAATTGAGTATGTGAAAATTTGACTTTTTTAATTTTTTAATTTTTTTTATCTAACCTGGAGTTGGGACAAACTTATCAAGACCATTGGGCTAAGATGTTTTTACTAATACTGGGCTTTGGGCATTATCAGTTGCTCAGGCCCAATTGGATGGGCTTGGGCAGATGTATTAAAGTTCGATCAGTGCTTGGGCAAACCTCAAGCCCAGCCCAGCCTATTCAAGTGTCAAGTGTCCCAAAGGGATTCATTTCATGGCCCATCTAATATTGTGTTGGCCCACATATATGACCTGTTACTTATTAGGATTTTGCAGAAAATCGACATTTTGTACATCACTTTTTAACTTTTTCTTTTTGGTCTTTGAGCAAAGGACTACTTTTTAATTGATTAATTATTATTATTTTTAAGGGAAGCTAAATTATTAAACAATTTGACAAAGCAAAAATTAATGTGAAATATTTTGAAAATCACATTTCTTGAAATAAATTAAGTATATGGATACAATCAGGAGATGATGCGTAGTTAGTAGTTACCCATTTCTGCCATGTAACAGAAGGATAAAGCAGCACACACACACATTGTTAGAGAACTATAGGAGCTTTTTATGGAATTAATTTTAAGAATCATTCATAATATATTTTTAATACGAGTAGTGACAGAGTACCCGAAAATTGAATACATTCCACTACAAATTTATGTGAGCAAAAGATGATATCAATCATAGTCATAATTAATGACATCACTCCCAAGTCGAACAGTTGAATTTGTCTGACTTTCGAATCACTTATCATTTTCGGCATTTGTATTAGTTTGTATTGACCTAATCACAATTATATTCTTTTGTTATTTATTTTGAATTTGTCTCTTCAATTCGATAGTTTTTCACACACGGAACTGATAATTAGTAATTAATACATATTTTGATTAATAAATTGGATGCAGGTAACAAATACATGGACAGGAGCTCAAACAACAGTGAGAATTGTAGATCAATGCAGTAATGGAGGATTGGACTTGGATGCTGGTGTGTTTAGACAACTTGACACAAATGGAAGAGGATATCAACAAGGCCACCTGATTGTCAACTACCAATTTGTTAATTGTGGTGATGGGATCAATCCTTTACTTTCAATTATTGACCAATATTAATTAATTAAGTCTGTCACACCCCCAATAACATGATTGTAACACCTTTTATCTTTTTCTTTTTTAATTTAATTTACGTTCCTTTGAAGAATAAAGCAAAAAAAGTCGTGTTCTTACTTATTAGTATTATTTTTTGTATGCTTACTTCTTATTTTGTTTTGATTATTCAAGAGACTAAAATTTTCAAATATTATAACATTTATATATATTATACATGTGACAACCCTTAATTTTTCAAACCCCGTGTGCCCTGTGATAACTTGAAACGGCTCTAAAATGCGGTAGCTAAACATGAACAAGTCTATAGAGATGTATGTCAAGCCTAAGATACAAGAACGACTTTCTGAGGAGTCTCGTGACTCAGTGGAAGTAAGACCGGAGTTAGGGTTTCAAAACCCTCCAAGGAATGGACCAATGGCAAAATGGTCATCCAAACTGAAGTGGGTGCCACTGTTCACACCATTGGAAGGACAACGAAAAATTAATGAAGATAGACTCAAGAATCACTTGATTCGTAGTCCGGACAACAAAGATATCAAGTATTGAAGTCAAAGGAAGAGAAACCACATCCCGGTTCGAACCAAATCCTGACACTACCTCATTAAAACTTGAATATCTTGAGTTACAAATGGAATCTAAAATTGTAATTGGTACCATTGGAAAGCTTATTTCGACGCGGTTAGTTTAGACTTAAGAACGGACCAATTCGGAGTTAAAACGAAGGAGATACGATAACTTGAAGTTGGAGGAGCAGTGCTGAAACAAAACACCACACACACACACACAACCTGGACGGACGAACGCTCGTCCCTTAGGGGCGACGAGAGCTCGTAAATGGGCATGCCAAGGCAATACCCACTGCCCTAACTATGAGCGCTCGTCACTGACAAGTATAACAGATTTCTGAACTTGAAACGTGATTTTGAGGACTTTCTGGGTCTTTTTGAAAAAAATACAAAGAAACCTCCCTCCAAAATCATGTTTTCTAGCCAACCATACCAAAAGAAAACTTTCTTTTTCATCTGAAAATCCCAAAATGCCCCTATGCATAGTTTTTGGCACGAATAGTACAAAATGAGCCCATAGAAAGCTCAAATCACCAAGGAAATGGTTTTGCCCGGATACGATTATGCACACAGACGTAACTCACATATTAGGACGTGCTACAATGATCCACGGCTTAAAAATACTGCCGATGCAAAATATGACCTATCAAACCTCAAATGCGGAAAATTTGCCCTTCAAAGGCAAAAAAAATGCAATAACCATACTTTAAGCCACACTTCATGCATAATATATGAGTCCTAGTGGAGGTGCTCGTGCACAATTTACGCCACCCGATTTGAAAATAAACCCTTAAAGGCTCAGATTTTCCTATTTTAGTTAAAAATTGCAGTATATGAAACAAAAATGCAAAACCTAAAACAAAATGGTGGTTGTCCTTTGGCCACACCTCATAAATGGTAAATGAATGCCAAATAATAAATTTCATATGTAATGCACACTCTGGAACAAAAATGACATATTAAACCCTAATTTTTCATATTATTATCATTAAAAGCAAAATTCAACATTTTTCAATATACATTGATTTCAAATGAAATTTAGCCATTGGCCACATATCATATACATGAAATAAGTGTCAAAAAGTGTGCTTAGGCACACATTATAAGTCCAAGGCAAAAAATGACATTTTGGCCTAGCCATGCATTATAACTTTAAAAGTAAAAATCAACATGCTAACACTTACATGTAAACATGAATACACTTAAAAGAACTTCAATCCATCGAAACGACCTAAGGATGTTGTGCATCCCAAACCAAGGCATCCGTACCTGAAAACAACTCGATAACTTTGGGGTGAGTAAATAAATTACTTGTAGGGAATGAGCATGCATCGACTTAACTTTTTACAAGGTTATCACATTGACGTAAAACAATGCAAAAAGGTCATGCCACTTAATGTCTATGTCAAAAGTGTGACTAAGGTATCATCTCAAGCTACTCAAGCAATTGAAATGAACCACGACGCACAAGTATACATGCTCAAATATACAAGACAATGTCAAAACATGATATACGACATATAAGCATACATTTACAAGTATACTAAATTATGTTAAACGAGATAAGCAATATCTAACATACATACACAAGTATTTGATCTATATAGAGCACTCATAAATCAAGTATACAAACACAAGTATACTAAGCTAAACGAAATGCGCACAAGGCAAGTATACACGGCACAAGTATACTAAATGAAATTTAAATTCATGGAGCAAGTATATAAGTTCAAATATACTAAATATGATTTAAATACCCAAAGTAAGCATCAATTCTCAAGTTACAAGTAATCCATGATTAACGACTTGAAATTAAATACGAAATCAAACAGTGGAAAGACTATGACATGCGGTCGCTAGACCAAACAAGTATTTTCGGGTAATTACGACCCACAAGGTACCACATAGTACGCACTTATGACTTAGAAGACTATTGTCTCCGTACTAGAGCCAAACCCTAGCCATCACATAAATTATGTCCTTAGAAGCTTTCCAAAATTAATAAGTTCGAAACTTATACAAAATCAAATGCAAGTTACCACATTCCATGCACAAGTAAGGTTGAATTTACACAAATCATGTCATAGAATTCAAGTCTAAATAGCATATGACATGTCATGTACTCAATATGCAATCTATATACAAAGTAAGAATATTTTACAACAATTGAGCCACATTACCATCCTGAACCACAAGTACTAAATAAGTTTCAATTTAGTAACTAATTTTCAAAGTAAACAATTGTAATATTCTAACAAGTTATATACCTACATAAGATATATTTAAACAAGTTATGCAAGTCAATAATATTCTATATCATGCTAAGTCCAATTACCATTTCAAGAGGCCACAAGCACAAATTCTACATCTAATTAGTAATATGCTCACAAGGTAATTAAACGTACTACATTTCAAGAGATTATCAACCTAACATGAAAAGTCTCTAGATTTCAAATCGATTCCAAATAGACTCAAATTAATATATGTTAAAGGATATAGCACGGTTTTCACATATATTACACCCAATATCAATTTAAGTGACTACAACACTTAAAATAAAATTAATTAAGCTAATTAATTAATTTCTTTAGATTTTTAAACAACTCTAAATGTCCTCAATATAACATAAGTTAAAGAATATACCAAGACCTATTTTAATATCACATTACAAGTTGATTTCATATTTGTTACAACTATGTGAATTAATTTTTCATAAAAGATAAATATTAAATAAAAGTTGCAATTCTTATTCAAATGCTACCAATTTAATATGTGTTGATAAACATACCAAAGCCTAATTTACTAGCATGTTACAATTTAATTCTAAGTTGTATACCATCATGAGAATTAAATCTTAAACATAGAAAATAATTAAATTAAATTCTAAAACTTAAACAAATGCATGCTCACAAGTTATATATATACTTATAAGACAACCAATACAACTAAAATATAAACCTATGACATCACCTACCTCACTTTGAGATGAAATCTCAAATCCCCATCGAAATGAAACTGCTCCGAATCCGACGAAACTTCGGGGTTTTGTCGGGGACAACAAGGTGATTACAAAACCCCAAGAGAGTCATACCAAAATCTTAACTTGGCTGCAAACTTGAACTCGAAAAATGGCCAAAACGGGATTCCAATCGGTTGGAATCGAAGGCCTCATTAAAGCGAACAATAAACGTACATTAAGGCATCACCACTTTCTACTATAGGGAAGGAGTCCAAAGGAGGAGAGATCGAGAAGGTAGCAGCCCTTTGGGCTTCCATGGCTACCGACCAAGAGAGGGGAAATAGATGAAAAATCTAATTTTTCATTTTAGAGACCCCTATTTATAGAAAAACCTTAAAAGTGCCCCGAATGGATTCCGCCAGGTTCGGAAAAGTGGAATTTGAGCAGATATGCTCAAACAGCAAAACTCCGTGAACAAAAAAGAACCGAAATGAAAAAAAATGAACAACAAAAGAAACGACATCAAAAACCGAGTCCCAAGCAGAGAGATATGCCCCCAAAACAAGTTTGACGCTGACCGAGGCTGAAAACCCGAAAACTGTAGGGTTCGACCGCAAGACAATTCTAAGAGTACATGACTCGATAAAATATGAAAATGAATCCCGTATGAAGATTCAAGCCCTAAGGAGACACCTGATCAATTAACTTTTATTAATTGCACAAATACCCCTACACAAAAGGATAACTGCGCAAGTGACCCCAAATGAAAATATCTTCTAAAAATATTTTCTTAGTAACCCCTAAATCAAAATATCTTCAAAACATATTTATGAAAAATATTCCAAGAAATAAAAACGTTCATCCACGCCGCTGCGGGAAAAAGAAACAACCGGCGAGCTTTTCTCTATAAGTAAAGTTACGCCTTTCAAGAAAACTAACTAGAATGGGAGTACGTGAAGTCAAAAACCAACTTTGAGCACGAAGAGTGAGGTTACACGAAGGGAAATGTCAACGAAAAAAATTAACTCGTAAAAATGAAAAAAAGGGAAAGAAAAAAAAATGACGGGGTCATTACAATATATATGTGACTCGTGTGTGTGTGTAAATATGAGATGCATGACTACTATTATAATTTGTAATGCATGTGAGTAACATTCATGTATATTTTCATTTGAATAATCAATAATGCTAAAGAACTGTCTAAAAAGTATTAGTTATTAAATAATAAAATAATTAATTGTCCACCACCAATGACAAAACCAAATTAATTTCTCCAATTTAGCATGGACAACATGAATGATATAATAATACCGGGTAAAGTGCATAAAATATTCTTATATCAAATATTTATAGTGCATATCACACCTCACGAGTAAAAAAACACCACTAAAATTTAAAATTTGTTAATAATGCATGTTTAAGATGATCTCAGAAATAGATTAAAACGTGTTATCACCCGTTTGATGTGATAAAATAGCACGAGAAATTAAAATAGATTTAGATATAATATTATAAAATGGATTGTATTATAATTCTTGGGAAACATGTGAGACAAAATATGTGATTTAAACATGATTTACACATCTTTTAAATAAATTGCATACAATTTCTCATTTTCTCTTCCATGGAGCTGTGATGAAAAATCTAGTGAATTATCAAATAAGCAAACCTAGTGTGGGTTAAATTAACATCCCCAATTTTTTTGATTTTTTTTTTTATAGTACTAAATTAATTATTTATGATGATTTTGTATTTATGCTAAATTATAGTTACTAATGATGGTTTTCTATACAAAATTAAAGCTGGCCTCTCTAATTTTTTAATTTTTTTTTTTCTATTTATGGTTTCCATTTTAACATATACATTAAAATGCACTTTTTTTTTTATTTTTTTATAATGATTTTATATTATTTTTAAATTTAAATTTTACATTACTAATTTGGCCCTCCAATAAAAAATTTATGGCTGCGCTCCTACCTCCATTTGTAGGAAAATCATTACCCTTCGACAGAAAGGAAGAAGAAAGAAATGGAGCAAAGTTACACTTCTTTTGCTTCCAAAATGGTAGCAATTAATTAAGCAAATAATTTGAATTATGGTGAAATTGTCTTTAATTTGATGTAATAAACTATAAATAAGTGGTAACATTACTTTAGAAGTGAGAAATTAGAGGTAAGAATAAGTTTAGAAGAAAAGTAAAAGGAAAAGAAAAAGGAAAAGGAGAAGGTGAGAGTGCAAGATATTTTCTCCGTTTTACACTTAGCTTTTCTCCGTCTTCTTTCTTTTATTTTTGCTCACGATATAATTCACAATCGGTAGATGCAGTTGTGGGGCAATTACAAAAAAAGAAAAAAAGAAAAAAAGAAAAAAGAAAAAAATCTCTGAAGTGACTCCAAAAGATTCCAACTTTCAACCTCAGAATACAGGAGTTAGGCAATTTAGGGTATATATAATTTTGGTAAAAGATATATACATGGGTTTGTTTGACAGCTATAATTGTTTTTGTTTTTGCTTTAATCCGAAGTAGAAACAATGTTTTTATTTTAAAGTATGCTTAAACACTATTTCAAAATTTGTTTAGGAACATAAATTTGTTATAAGATTTTTGAAAGTAAAAACGTGAAAGCATGTTTGATAAAAAATGTTGCTAATTTGAAAAGTTGAATGTTTAGTTAAAAATGTTAATTTAAAATTTTTTGTTTTTGAATAATACTTTATTACTGTGCCAAAGTAAATAAAAACATCATTTTGATGTTTCGGTACTATTTAAATGATAATAAATATTACTAGACATATTTTGTGTTTTACTTTGTTACAGTATCCTAAAAAAAAAAAAAAAAAAAAAACATTATTTAACTTTTCCCTATCTAGAGATTATTCCCAAAAGCGTAAGGCCCACCAAGACGACGCAGTTTAGCCACGGGCATTCCATACACAAGTCCACTACTTCTCATCGAACTCGCTCGAGCTCGTATGTGAACACTTTACGGGCATGTACAAAGAAACCTTCCTTCGTGGGTTCATGCTTTTTCGCTGAAACTCAGAACAACTCTCTCTCTCTCTCTCCTGTCTTTCTCTCTCAACATTCCATCTGATCAGCCTCACTATTCCTTTAACCCCCAAAAACCCAACACACCACACGTAAAATTTCACCAAACAATCCACACCCATCTTCAAATTCACTTCCAATTCCACCCTATTGTTCCACTCAACAGATCCATACTTCTCACTACAAACCCATCAAGCTAAAGGCGTTTGTCTCTGTTTTCCCTACCAATTTTCACAATCTCTCGTCCCCAATGATTCATTATTGAATGCAGTTTAGAGAGAGAAAGTAGATACACACACACATACATACATATATACACAAATATATATATATATAGAGAGAGGGAGGATGATGATGATGGGTCACATGGTGGAAGTACGGAGGGAAACAATAGCGCCATGCGTGACATGCCCTCTCTGTAACAAGCTCTTGAAGGAGGCCACCACAATATCTCTATGCCTTCATACGTGTTAGTTCCTCCAATATGTCTCTCTCTTCTTGTTGAATATTGTTTTCTCTCTCTGCCGATTTTGATGTGGGATTGTTCTTGTATTGTACATTATAAATTGGGTGTGTTCTTCTTAGTTAATCATTTACTGATCTGTATTTATATGTATCAATAATGTGTTCTTTTCCTGTTCTTTTTTTTTTTTTAATTTATTTTTATTTTTAAATTTGTTATTTATTTATTTGTTTTTGGGTGATTTTGGGTTGGGTTGTTCTTATGTTACAATTTATGATCTGGGTTCTACCTACTTTGATTTTTTGTTTATCATATATGTTGCAATTCAGAACTTTTGATTCGTAGTGTAAAATTGTTTCCTTTTTTGGTTCTGGTACTGTTTAAGTATGATTCAGGCCTTCTTTATTTTTATTTTTTTTTATTTTTATTTAAACTTTTTCCCGTTTGTGTTCTGAATCTAGATTTTGGATTTGAATTATAATATGATTGAGCTTTCAAAATTAAGCTAGGCAGAAAATGACAAATATTTCTGCGGGGCTTTGTAGAACTCGGTTAACGGCTTAATGTGCTTTGTCCTTCATCAGAAAAGGAAGGCATGACCGTATGATAGTGAGCATTACATGTTATTCATGCAAATGAAACTTGATTCTTGATAGTGATGTATTGGTTACATTGATACAAGCAGCCGGTAGTCTGTACAACAAAGTTCTATGACTGAATCACATTTAAAAACTTGTGATTTTTTCGTCTTAGAGTTTGATAGGGTTTTTTCCTCTGCCAATTCTTTAAAATTAGCCACTATTGGAGGTCACATGCCAATCCTGCAATTGTTTAGCAGAACAAGAAAGTGTGAAAATTCATTCCTGAGTTGATCTTATTTAGCTTGTAGAGAGCATATATTAAATTTGTTTCTATTTTTGGTTTTTATCTAATTTGATTTGTTTCGAATTTCAATCTTATGGTTCTTTCATTCATCAAAGTTTTTTGTTCAATTCATTTACCGCTTCTCTGTGCATATGTTACCCTTGAAATTTTCTTACATGCTTTCATCTCTTTATTCTAATTCTCGTTGAACAATCATGTCTGCATCATATTGATCATGCTGAAGTACAGCATATCGATTGTGCTGAATTACATCATATCCTTGAAACCTTATTTGTCGTTCTGTGTGATTTCTAATCATTGCAAATGACTCCTTAATCTTCATAGGAGTTAGGTGAAGTCACAAATGATCCTTAATCTTCTTTTGTACCCACTGATATTTATCTCAGTATATGCAAAAGACCATGATCTCATAGATTGATTCCACAATGATCTTTATATGCTTTTATCACTGTTTTCACTTCTATTCATGTCGATAACTATGCAAAAGTATAGAAATTAGTTTATTCTATACAATTTAGCTATTGATGTGTTATAAGCCTTTCCCTGAATCTTTTCCGAAAAGAACCATCTTTGCCCCCCCACCCCCCACACGCGCGCACACAAAAACTAATTTTTTGTGCTATTTTCATAAAGAAGACGACTAATGGAAAAAATAAGGAATATTTTATTTCTCTGAATTTAACACGCATTCCAAATTGGGAAGTGGCAACTAAGGCTTGGACAATAGATTATTTGAGTATTACTAATTTGTTCCTTCAATTGTTGTCCATAGCATTCTTCTTGGACGCTGTTTAGTAAGTTTGCCAAAACCTGCTTGTCTCTTTCCTTGTTTGCTCAATGATCAGTGTAATTTCTCTATCTGTTGACTAGAATACCTGAAGGAGATTAAATACATTATTATTTTTTATTAATTTAAGAAGTGCATGCTCTCACAATATTAATTATCTTCAACATCGTGTCGGAATTAATTGTTTTACTCTTTTATTAACCATTCTGTGACACATTGGGTTTTTGAACTTCAAACCAGTTTGTAGAAAGTGTATATATGAGAAGCTCTCAGAAGAGGAGGCTGATTCCTGTCCTGTATGCAATATCAATTTGGGCTGCATTCCAGTGGAGAAACTTAGGTCAGTCTTTACGAAGTTTTACTGGACCTCTCTGTCTCTGTCTCTGGTTTCTTATTTGCATTTTGGTCAATTCATACTCACACATACATGTATATAATAATATTGTGATATAGGTGAATGAGTATGCAGTTGTTGGTGCTATAAATATATCTTTTATGAACTACTGAATTTTCAGAAATTGTTTAAATTCTATGATAGATTTAGATGTTCAGAACTCCATAATTTAGAAATTTTTAGGAAAATATGTGATACTGTACTAACTTTATTATTAACTAAATATGTAGTAATAGCGGTAATAGTAATTATTGAATCTCTTGGTTAGAGCTTCCAAATGGACCTTTTTTTTTTTTTTTTTTTTTTTTTTTTTTTTTTTAATATATTTATTGCTAAATGACACATCAGTTCGTAGTTCAAGAAAATATTTTGGCCTTTTTCTTTATTGAAATTAATTAAAAGGGAGAACTTCATCAGAGTAGACGTATTCGGTTATGTTCCGCAGTCTTCAGTTTTAGATAACCATAATGTACATATGTATGCATCTCTTACTCTACTAGGAGTGCATTGAGAACTTGTTAATATTCTACCATTCAAAAAAAATAAAACTTGTTAATATTCCAGATAGGGAATTAGACTAAGATCATGTGGAATAGGCATTTCTATAAGATGGTTTTAAAAGGGTTCAAGTTAAATTGAATTGTTGGCTGTGGGTTCTTGTGGTTCATCGAATGGAATCCTGGAGGATGCTTTCAGACATTGGGAGGTATTGCCCAAGAGGATAAAACATAATATATATATATCCCTTTAGATTGTTCTTAGTAACCCCATTCTCAATGTTATGGAAATGGGTTTAATTTGGAGCTTTTTGCTGGCTGTAAAAGGTTGAGTGATTCCCATTCTGTTAATCACATTTTCCTTTTTGGTTTTGTTTGTGCGCGTCATGCTATGAAAATGTGCATGTTGTCTCAAAATCAACTTCAAGAGATGTGTGGTTGGTACTCATTTAGATAAATACTAGTTAACTTGCTTAACTAGTATCCTAAGGTGTCACTATAGCAGTTGACCTGTCCCATAATTTGGTCTTTCCAGCTCACTAGGTGGGAATTTTTGTGCGAAATCTTATGATATCAGTTAGCATATTGCTATGTGTGTGAAACCCTTCTTAATTGGAAAAGGGCTAGCCCAGTGTGCGAGGCTCCCGCCATTGCGGTGTCTGGGGTTGCCTCTGCATGCAAAGAGACTTTCCTTTTTTTGAACTTGTGACCTTCATGTCATGATGGAGCAACCTTACCATTGAGAAATCCTTCTTAATTCTGGTGTTTAATTCTTTCTTCAGCAGACATGATGTTTATCTCTTCTTTGTGTCTCTTCATGTTTGATATACAGGTCAAGGCCTCCAGAATTTTTGAGAGCGGGATAAAAAAAAAGGGTCATATCTTTATTAGTCAAAGGCTTGTAACCCTAATGTAGAGGCTTGTAATTGAAAAACATTGTCTCAGACACTGTGGGACTGATTTTAAAAAGGCTTTGGTGGGCCTTTAAGGACTCTCACTCACTGTGGGAAAATCCATTTTCCCAAACCAACAAAAAATAATGAATAAGATTAATCCGGGACTAGATATGAAAAAATATAAAAAATAAAAAACAACACAAGAGCAACACAGAAGCAGAACCCAATTTCTTCTTGAAAAGGTATATGCTTTTTCAATTGAGATGGAATGATGCTTAGAATGGTCAATAATATCAAAATGTAATGTCTCCTGCTTAGACTGAGAAATCCAAAAGAGGTGATCTGATAAGAAAGGCACTCAAATGAATGAATCATATCCGGTGAGGAAACTCGTCAATGCCAATACCCATGAAGCCTCAACATGCAAAATGGTAGTTCTCTAATTTAAGCAAATTTAGTATGATTGGGTTCATAACTCTTGTTAAGTTTTGGCGGACTATCTGGTGTTTGATACCGCTTTTTGGTGGACGTTTCTAAACAGGAGGCGTGTTTGTGTTGGACATATCTCAGACACTAACACTTCTTGGACACTCGCAACACTTCTATGACACATTTGGACCTATATTTAATTTAAAATTAAAATTTTGATTTCAGAAACATGGTCAATGCATCATGGGCACCTGATTAACATGTGATTAATGAACCTTAGAGCTTGGATAAGACTTCTTTTTAGTATAAAAATAATAACTATAAGGAAAAATCAAATTAAATATTTATGTAAGATTTATATAAAGTTTGAATTTATTAAAATAATACAAGACATTTAAAGGTTTATCAAGGTACTGGGCATGGGAGTAGGAGAAGAGTTATCCCATCGTGTTCAAGTACATATATTTATATATCTACATAATTCATAAACACATGTATACGCTATATGTCATGTACTTGTTATAAATGTCTCTCTAAGATAAGGTATGTAATTTGTATATCTATTATTGTCGTGTTCTCACCGTGTTTCATGTCATAATTCTTTTTTTCCCTTAAATTTTAAACACGCCTTCTTAAGAGTTTCTGATCATCCATTCTGTTTTGTTTACTGCATATAAAAATACATTTTTTAATATGATTATCCTACTTGCAAGCCACCAAACTAGTTCTCTTGAGACTACAAGTTGGTTTTTTTGTCTATCAGTCACTGCTTCGACCACTTGAAGTTTTCTTATCAGGTGTTCCTCTGGAACTGAAAGGATAACTTGTTTAACTAGGCTGTTTTTTTTTTTTTTTTTTTTTCAATCACTTTTAGGAAACTATTGTTAGAGGGAAAATAAACGGTACTGGCCTATTGATGATGGGAAACCCATCTTGCTCTGGCTGCAGTTTTCCTTAGGTTATATGTTTGTGGCAGCATTCATCCGTTGTTCTGGTATATATAACTCTCCTATTTGGTTAGCAAAAAGCTGTTCCATTGGTGGCAGCTCTAGATCATAGTCATCCTTTTATTTTTGTAATGCACGCTTGCTTTCCCACGGTATCAGTTTTGACGGACAACATCTGTGAAGCATAATACTGGTACAAGATATGAATACAACATGCTTATGATATGACAAATTCTATATAAATAAGATACGGATTGGGTAGAGACATGTTAATGCGTATGTATATACAATATAGATGCATTTATGTATGTCCAAAAATTAGATAATAATTGTTTATCCTGGTTGATATGCATATGCAATGATTATTATTTTTTTTTTAATGACTATCATATATACTAAATTTTAACTTGTAATGAAGAAAATTTAGATGAAAAAAGTAAGGGCTGTGTTCCATGATTATAGACGTGTATACATTTGGCATGAACTATCCTTGTTATATCTCATTTATTTATTTTTCTTCTTCTATACCAATCCTTGAACTCTAGACCTAGAGGTTGGTCTGGCTACACAAACCAACCCCTAAGCCAAAGAGGACACAAGAGAACCGGTTATATCTCATTTATTTATTATTATTTTAAGGAATAATCAAAATATTTGAAGCCTTTGTTATTTTATTCCTAATAATTGTGTTTTGATTTTACACTTAGAATGCCGCTTCTTAATTTCAAGGCCAGTTGGAGATGTGTTTCAAATTATCTAAAGGACTGGAGACATTTTTTTTTTAATTTAAAAAAGGCTCATATTGTGGATACAATTAAGAAGTATTGGACGTGTATATGAGGAGTATCGAAATCATGCATGCATGCATGCACTTATGTATGTATCTGCAGTTTGGGATGCATGCATTTATGCATGTATCAATTGTTTCCACACAGCTCTTCAAAATGTATTGACTTTGAGATTTTGTTTCAAAAAATATAATGCAAATACTTAATAGTTCAATTAATCAAATTGCAGATCATGGCAATGGGGGCCTCATCAAACAGCATTGCTATACTCCTTTTCCTTGATCTCATTACGTATATGTGTGTGTGACTGTGTGTATGTATGTATCCAGAGTTGCATACACAGAGTTCTTCATAATGAAAGGAAATGGCTTTCCTTATTTTTTGTTGAATTCACTTTGGAATTTTGTTTCCAAAAAATATAATGCAAATACTTAACAGCTCAATTTACCAACTCCCAGATCATGCTAATGTTGGCTTCATCCATCAGCATCGCTATATACCTTTTCCATGATCTCATTTTCCCATGAAACAAATGGAACCTGGATTGATCATTTACCTACTACTCACCCTTTGGAATTTTCACATAAATGGTTGCAAAGATATTTTACTCAGCTATTTATATACTGGGGCTTTTTGTTGAGATGTACTTATATTTAATTGGGCCCATTGAAAATATGCAGGCCAGACCACAATTTGCAAGATATAAGGGCTAAAATCTTCCCTATCAAAAGAAGAAAGATTAAGGCTCCTGAAGTCTTACCTTCGATTTCACTTCCTTTAAAAAGGAAGGAGAGATCTCTATCATCATTGGTGGTCAACACTCCCAAAGTGTCGATGCAGGCTGGAGTGACTGGAAGGAGAACAAAATCTGTTACGAGAAAGGCTGCTGCTCTACGAGGATCCAGTTTTTCCATTGAGGAACCAATTAAGAAAGAGCAAGATCTTAAGGAAGATTTTCCAGAGAGCTCAAGCTCACCTGAGACTGTAAACAAAATTATTCAGCATAAAAGACAGGTAAAGTTGGTTTCGTGTTGGTTCTTTTTATGCTTTTAGTATTGACATTTTAGATATAACATGTTGTAAGCAAGTCCTTGTAGGAAATTATGCCAAGAATTTAACTCTATTCTTCTATGACTAAAATAGTAGACACGATGCTGTTGCAAAGTATCCTTCGTAGATAGTTTTGCTTTTTAATTTACTGTTTAATGCATTTTCATCCTTCAATCTTGCAGAGCTCTTCCACAAGCGACCTTATTCACGATCAAAAACCAAATAAAGATACAGGGAATGATGCTGAAGCATGGGAAGGGAATGTCGATTTATGGAAACCCTTAAATTATCTTGTTGAAGTTGCAAACAGAACCAAGCCTTCTAAACTAAATTCACAAGGCTCATCTCCTATCAAAACAGAACTGCTCAATGCTACTGACTGTGACGCACATGTTCCTAAAAGCAAGGTTAAGGAGCATCAGCACAAAGCAAAAGTTCAAGAGGACAAGAACAAGCCAACCTTGCTTCAAGGACCAGTGAAACGTAGAAGGTTGCGTGCTGTTGGTCGAAAAAATGCATCCAATGGGTTGGGTCCCTCGCCACAGGCCATGCTTGATGCTAAGGGGGCTAAGCAGAACAGAAGAAACTATCCCATTTGGTTCTCACTGGTGGCCTCAGAAGATCAGTAATTACTAAAATCATGTCCAAATGAAATTTTCAGGTGTTTTGAATTTCATTTGATGGTTTTTTAATCTTGTGATATATGATTTCAGGGAAGGAGATGTTACATTGCCACAGATATCTGCATGTTACTTGAGGATAAAGTGAGTTTATCTGATCCCGTAACTAATCTTTAGTTTTGTTAGCGATATGCTGCTGTTTTTAATCCTGCTTCTTTTGTTTTCAATTTTATGTCATTAGAACACTATAAAGCGTGGTCGCGTCAGTAAAATATTTGTGAACTCATGAACTCATATTTTTCGTATCTCTCACAACTCAAATTGGAGTAGTGTGCTAAAAGAATTCAGGAGTTCTTTTTTTATTTATTTATTTTTTATTCCTTGTATATTTTTATTGAATAAAGTTGATATAGAGAAGCAATGAAAACACATATAAGAAATGAACTGTTAAATAATTGACACAGTATACCTTTCATCTATTTTGGATATTGATTTTTCTAAATATATGCGGTGACATTCTATAAATCAGCGTAAGTGATTTAGGTCTTCATACTGAAGTTTCTTGTCCCATCCTGAACCTCGGTTCCTAGATGAAAATTTTTGGGCTTCTACCTTTTTATTACTGTTTCTCAAAAGTAGTAAAGGAATCAGGATACATCATAGAAGATGCTCTCATAAAAATATGTTGAAAAAGTATGCAGAGAATATGTTTCTTCCTTACTAATTTGAATATTACCCTAAAAAAAGAAAAAGAAAAAAAAAAGTTGATATATTAAGGAGGGTTTATGCTAAATTAGTGGTTTGTCCTCACAAGAAGAATGAATAACTTAACTCAATCATTGATTTTGTAAAGAACCAGTGAAGCATAAAATATTAAAACCAATAATAAACAATGAATAAATCATACTTGTCAACAACAGAAGCTAACTGGGAAAAACTGAAACACACGTGCGCGAGTTCTCATGCTTACCCAATCAGTAGTGTATCCCTTGTAGCAAAGTTGGACTGAGGTGGTTATTTACATAGACACGAGGCAACAGGCCAGATGAAGTTTCAAAATGTGTCCTATTTCAGAATTGTTTTTGGAGGATATCAGCTCAGGAGCCAAGTATGCAATACAAGGACTCAAAGTGTAGAACCCAATTATGTTATGAGGATATTGATATTATTTAGCCCATTAATTCTAATTCAAGTAGCACTCATTTTAAATTACTTAAGGTTGATCTGTATATGAAACTGAGTTGATTTATAATATCAGAAAAAATTTGAGGTGGCCTCAAAAGCATTCTTGTGTATGATAATATGGGGACTTGTTTACTTTAGTGAGATTTATGGGCTTTGTCTCCCATTCTTGAAAAGGCACTATTCAGAAGGAAGGATTTGTCTTCAAGGTTGCCTTTAAGAAAGCCTATGAACATGTAGATTGTGTTCTTTACATCATTTAGTGTGTGGAAAGGATTTGGGGTGTCTATGGAGATAGTGGGTAAGAGTTCTTTCAAAATGCACAAATTTATAGTGCTTGTCAATCAAGAGTTTTACAAAGACACCCTCAACACATCTCCTCCGGTCCTCTTTTTTTAACTGATTACGTGCTTAGTAGGGTAATTCAAGCGCCAAATACTTGAAGGTCGTTGAGGAAATTACGGTGGGCAGTATAGGTTCACTTGCAGTCTCCCTTCTTCAATTTACTGATATCTAATTTCTCTTCTAGTGTGGAATGTCAGATTCATGTCTTTAGCTTTATCCTGTGTCTTTTGAAGTTACATATCTGGACTGAAAGTTTAGTTGTCTGAAGGCACCATTAGTGGAACCAATGTCTCCCAAGAGCATCTGCATGCCAGTGCTGTTTCTTTAGGTTGTGAAATAGAAGAATAAGTCCTCAAACATCTTGGTTCCCTGTTGAGAGGAAATCTAAGATCAATAGAATTTTGGAGTAATATGATTCATACAAAGTCTTTAAATGCCTAAATGAGAGGAAGGAGTCCTTTATGTTTTAGTGTTCGGGTCACTCTTGCAAAGATTTGACATATAACATATCCATTTACCCTGTTTCCATTTTCAGTATTGGTGTAGCCTTGTTGGGAAGCTGTTAAAGGAACCTATTTGTTTTTGGAAGTAGGAAATCCAAAAAGGATTACTTAATTGATTGGTGTAATGTTCAACCGTGGAAGGGAGGGTTGGTATGTGCAAAAATCTTTCGGGTACTTGGTAATCAAATTATATATGGCTGTCAGTCCATGGTAGGAATGCCTAAGTTTCTATTTTCTCAATATAATTATGGGGATGGATTTGGATTTTATGCTCATTTGGTAGAGAGATATTTCTTCTAAAGAAAGAATTGATGGGAAACAAGTTAACAAAACTGAGGGAGAATGGGTAAAATGGGTTTATTTGGATATTCTTTGTGCTTGAATGATTATAATCAGCATGGTATTTACTGATTTTAATTAGTAGTTGTTAATTAGATCATTTTGTGCCACAATGACTTGTAGCCATTAGAATTCATGTCAATTTAGTGGAATCTTGTTTGGAATTTGCACTATTGTACCAGCAGATTATTAAGGGATATTAAGCAGATTATTAAGGGGTATTATTATCTTCTGGGTTTCTTCCATTAGGTTTTTTATTTTTATTTTTATTATTTTTTTAATGGATGATACTAGTTTGGGTCATGGCCTAGAACTCGTTTTAATTGGGTATTTTACTCCTTAAAGATGGTAGTATCTTATCTTTCATTTTGTGCCACAATGACTTGTAGCCATTAGAATTCATGTCAATTTAGTGGAATCTTGTTTGGAATTTGCACTATTGTACCAGCAGATTATTAAGGGATATTAAGCAGATTATTAAGGGGTATTATTATCTTCTGGGTTTCTTCCATTAGGCTTTTTTTTTAATGGATGATACTAGTTTGGGTCATGGCCTAGAACTCGTTTTAATTGGGTATTTTACTCCTTAAAGATGGTAGTATCTTATCTTTTGAAGTAAATATTGAGTTGAGAAGTTGCAGCTTTATAGCTTTGCTCTAAGAGATTGTGATTGTCTTGTTTCATCATCATCATCTTTGCTCTTGAACATTATGCAACTAAACAATTGGCTGCTGTTATTAATCAGAACTATTCTCTAAACAGCTTAATGTCCATATCAGGACATGATATTAAGATGCCTTTGAAAACCCTAAAGTTTTGTTCTACATATCCATGCTCATACATAAATATTGAGGAGAAACACTAATCAAAACGGATCAAAAGGTGCTGAATCTCGAAAGTCTAGAATTACTTTCAGTCTACCCTGAGCTGGTTGATCTTGCGACCCAGTACAACATTTATGTTTGTTGAAATTTCAATCCTTCTAGAAATTGAAATACTATGGAAGTGTTGAGCTTGTTTCACTCTCGAAAATTATATCTGTCTTCTCCCTCTTACAATAGAAGATGGGAATCTCAGAAGTTGCGTCTTCTTCTCCAAATCCTGTTTTCTCTTGTTCTGTTTCCTTCCATCTGGTTTAATTAATTTCGATTTCCAAATTGCCTCAAACAGTATAGAACACAGTTCAACATTTCATTTGTTTAAAAGTTCTGTTTAACTGTTTATTGAAAACTGAGTGGAAAAACTACCTGGATTCAGAAAACTGCCTTTTGTGGTTCTTTAAAAATTGTTTGCTGTTTTCAGAGTTTTTGAAAACTGTTTTCAGAGAGCTGAACCAAATAGTTCCCAAAACACTTGGAAAGTCGATAAAATTATATGCTTAAAGCTAGAAGACTAAGCTCCATGCGACGATATATCTACACTTTGCCAAGATAGTTGTTGGTCCATCCATTCATTGGCCAGTTTGAACTTTCTTATTCAATGTTGGGGATTAATTTAGAGGTTTAAAGAAAGGAAAGAAGTGATAGTCCTTGCACTTCTGTTCTATACTAATAGCCTTTTGGGTGGTATGGTTGGTAAGGAGTGTCAAAATTTGGGGATTAATGTCTTGCGGGGAAGTTGTGTGGCTGGAATCTCCCTCAGAACATCTGTGTTGATATCCAATGAGAATCGTTACCAGTAATTGGACCTAATTTTCCTATCTTATCTCGTTTACTTGGTAAACTAAGTGGAGATCCATTTCAAGTGACAAGTTAAATCTCGACTTTCAATGGTTGTACTATTGGGAATCTAGGCCAGTTGTGTAAAGAGAATATTATTAGGGATCAAACAAATTCAATCATTTCATGTGATCCAGACTCCATAGCTAATAAATATGGGTGTTGTATATTTTAATTTTTTAATTATATAATAATCTTCAACATAGTCTGGCATATATCTGTTTTCTTTATTACTCTTGCTTTTTTGTTTTTTTTACTTAACTAGCAGAAACAAAATCTTATTATAACACTTTCATCATCAAATTTTCTCCTACCCCAGCCGTATGACTAACCACTACAGCTTCTTTTCACCAAGTGAGCACCTTAAATCAACTGTACTTGTAACCGTACTAATACCTTCTTTATGACTAGTTAATTTAGTCTTATGTACTTAATTATGGTTTTGCGTTTGAAGTTGTGTGATTGATCTTTGTGGGCATTCCTCTTCTTAGCAGCAAATATCATTTTTTTTTTCCTAGGGACTAGATAACTTATTCTATGTTATGTGTTTTTCCCCTTCTCACAGGGATGGTAATTTGCCTGTCTCATTTATCCAAAAGTACCTCGTAATGAAACTTGATCTTACAAGTGAAGCTGAGGTGAGTATATTTAGCTTTGCTTTCTTCCCAGAATAACAAGACTGTTAATGGCATTTGGAATTGCAGTTGCAATCTCCTTGAATTGTTAATGTATTCTCTTATTAAATAATTTAATATAATTGTTTCTTTTCTTGATTGTTGTTTGTTTGTAAGTGAGAAACTGAAAACAAATTGATGAGTGAATCGAGTGACACGAGTTTAAACTAGTATATTTCATTATATTGTTTAGGTTTTTACTGGGAAACATAATCTTGCAAACGTCTGTTTCTTTTTTCTTTTTCTTTTTTTTTTTTCCTTTAATACACTTCAAGATTTTTTGGAATGTAATATATGGTAAGTCCAGCTGAAAAATATCAAACCAAAAATCTGTTAATGAACCCTGCCTGAAATATAACATGAAACACTTTGAATGCATTTATTTAACCAATAAACCCTACCATAAAATATGTTTTATTGAATCAAAGGATCCAGCACAGGTGCTTTTTAACGTTTTCCTTTCAGTTTCTTAGTACTCGTTGTTTTTGTTATTTTTCTATGGTGTGCATGCATTTCACAGCCCTTGTGTTACTCACATTTCTGCAGCAATATGACTTTAGGAATTTCAAAATTCACTAGAGGGGCATGGGTATGTGAACGTGGCACAAGCATAGACTTGTAAACGGATTGGATTTGGACTGGATCACATTTGATCCGATCTGAATCCAATTATCTGGATATGGATTGCGGGAAACTACGCTTGGTTCTTGGACTCTTCCCCTGTAACCTTTTAGTTCTGATAGGTTCCAATTCTAAGTTTTTGTGTTCATTGTCTAAAGACAAAATGCAGAAGAGAAATAAGTAGAAATTCCTGAGCAGTCTCATTCAGGTACCGGATACCACATTGTGCCTGAAGCGTCATAAAATGAAAAAGGAGTTTCTTGTCAAGTTTTGGCATGATGACAAGCCCTGGGCCTTCATGTTTATCGTCTTGTTAGGAGCATTATGTACAAGTTCTACGGATATTTAGCATTAAATGTTGAACTTGTTAGATTACCATTCTGCCTGTGAACCGTGCCATATTTATGCACAACACGTCACAAATCGATTATTTTACTTGTTACAAGTTATTTGAAAGTTTTACAACTTTATGTAGAAGATCTCCTAATGTCTTCGGCTACTTTTCTTCTGCAGGTGGAGATAACGTGCCAGGGTCAGCCGGTGCTTCCGACATTGCAACTACAGAACTTGGTAGATTTGTGGTTGCAGACAGCTTCAACATCAAGAAGGATACCCGCAGCTGTCGGCAGCTCAGCCAAAGACTTTGTGATGGTCCTGTCGTATTCTCGAAAAGTCCAAGCACCATAAAATAATCCTCTTCTTTTTCGTTCTTCTAATGTCGGTTTTTTTTTTCCCTCTAATGTCATATAATAATCTTCGTCGGATCTCAACCGCCCTCCGTAAACTCAATGTCTTGATTCATATTTATGTATCATGCATGTGGTTGCATGTATGAGTAGTTATTTGATTTCATTTATACGTTGAGTTGTATGTGTTATATGCGATGTATACCATAATTTGTTGTTGTAGTTCTATATGGGGGGTACTTGCAACTTGCAATTTGCAATGTTCTACAAGGAATTAACACTGAGCTTTATAATAAATCCGTTTTTCTTAAGTTGCTTCCAATTTGACCCTTGTGATTAAAAATCTTGAATATGGATTGAAGATATATATATATATATATATATATATATATATATATATATATTCTTAGAGTACGTGTATCATTCGAGTTAGGAGTGCGGTTCGAAAGTAAGACCTTCAGGATTTACCTTCCGAATTTCTGTCAACGCTGTTATGTTCCTAAAGGTGGATAGAAGTTATATTTACTTTGTACTTATGATGGTGGTATATTTCTTAATGTTTGAGTAATGTCACGTAGTCATCCTAATAATCTGTTTGGACATACAAATTGAAACAGAACTATTCCAATGTTTTCTTATAATTTGAACGAACGTCGTAGGTTAGAAATTTCAATTTTGGAGAAATTTAATGACGTGAAGTTGTGAACCTAATGTTTATTTCTTTATAGTTGGAAATTGAAGGTGCACTTGGATAACTTGGTCGTGCACTTGGAATCAAACGGTTAAAATATTGATTTTTTTTTTTTTTTTTTTTTTTTAAATTCCAATTACCATTTTGGTTTAATTGTATTAAAAATAAAAAATTTAACTACTAAAAATATGCGTATTTCACTTGAAATTTATTTATAAATTTTGAAAATATTCTCAAGAGTAATAATACATTTTTTGAATTGGGAGGGTGTTTGGTGGGGTAAGTTGGGACTGAATTATGTGATGGGATTCGTACTTTCTTTCACAAAATATGGATATTCTCTTATTTCAAAAGATAGTATCATTTTTAGTTATTCAAACTTGATTAATCACATTTTTCATATAAAATCTAAATTTCTAATAACATTGATCTGTATTCTAAATTTCTAATAAATAGTAAACCCAAAAAGATGCTCCGTATATAAAGTCTCATCAGTTCACTTTATTTTTCTCAAATGCTATAATGAGTTAATAGCATTTCCAATTGCATTTCACCTTTACGCTCTATTTATTTAGATGTAAGATATTTTTTTAAAAAATACATTTTTATTTAGATGTAAAATATTTTTTAAAAGATATTTTTTATTTTTTGATGTTTGGCTGTCGCAAGTAAGAAAATAAAATAAAATAAAATATAATAAAAATAACTTATCTATTAATTTTCGGCAAGACATTTTACACGTCCCACTCGTTGGACTTGACCTAGACCTTTGTCAAACAGCAGAAAATAAAAATAAAAAAAATATGTTTTAACTAAAAAAGAAAAATATTTTTTACGTTGGAACAAACAAAGTCACTTAGAAATGAATTATTATTCATTTTTATGTATAAGAGATGAAAAATAATTGTTTATCAGAAATTTAAAAGCCCAATGGGGTGTTGAATACTCCTCGTTCATAGGATGCAATTTCAAAACCCTATCAATTATGTATTAGACATGATTTTTTTCTAACAGTACAAAGGTTCTCACTAGTGAAGTTGTACAACATTCTTACTACTGATGTAGATCAATAATATATTTTACCTGAGAAATAAAAAAATATTTTAAAAACTTCAATCCATGTATTCAACAATTTTGAGGGGTACACCATTATGCTATTTTAAATTCTCAAAAAATAATTGTCTTGGACGGAACAAATAAAAAAAAAAAAAAAAATCTCAAAAAATAGTTTCAAGACTCTTTGGATGGGGCAACTTACAAATTTTTCAATGCTGTTTTTGTTTTTTTTTTTTTTTTTCGCTAGTAATTACATCACACACTCAATTTTCATTTCTAAGAAGAATACAAATTCTCTTATTTTCTATTTTAAAAAGTAGAAAAAATAACACTGAATTATTTATCATACTTAATTTTACAAATCTTTTAACAGTTAAAAGTGCAAATTTTACAAATTATATATATATATATATATATAAAATATACAAGGTCACTGCGGTGTGGTCAGTGTGGCAAGAAGCATCGAGTACTACCTTCTCTCTCATCGCCTTCTTCGATCAAGCAAATGCAGCAGGTAAGTACAATAAAAACCCTAATTTTGGTCGCCTTCTCATTCTCAATCAACGTGTTCACCAGATTTTCCAGTTTTTGGGCCTCACATCACTCTCTTAAATTTTAACTGTACAGGGCGGTGGTTCTGAAACGGAGGTGACATGGGAGGATCAGCAGAACATCAACAAATTTAGTAGATTAAACAACCAATTTCACGAACTCGAAGATGCCATCAACACGGCTAAGGTAAATCCCTAACACGCAAAGCACCCAAAAAAGTGAATCTTTATTCTACATGATTTGATTGATGATATCTGTTTTTTGTGCGTGTCTCTCTCTCTATATATATGTGTAAGTATAGTTTTAGATTCTTATTTCTTGTTTGTGGTGCATAATCTGAAGTGGGTTTTCAAAATTAAGGATTTGCAAGGTTGATTTCGTTGTGTACTAACATAGATAGTAAAATATGGATTCCAAGTCACTCAATGTGCTTCTAGTTGATGTGAGTAAAATAAAATTGAAAAAAATAGTGTGTCTACTATGGTAATGATGTCTTCCAGAAATACATCAAAGAACCGGGGGAGGTGAAAGAAACTGTAGCAAGAAAGTAGCGGAGTAGGGTAGAAATTAATTAATTTTTATTGATTTTTGATTTTTCGAATTAGAATCACATGGTTGCGCATGCAAATTTGAAAATTCATTGTGAGAGAGAGCTCAGTTCAAGTTATTTAAGGGGTCTTATAAAAATAAATTATTAAATGATTATAAACTGGAATAGACACTGGTATCTAATATATTTTGGGCTGGAGTTCAAAGATTATCACTGTGAATAGACTAAGTTTTGGGATTTTTGACGAGGGGCAGATTTGAATTACTGTAATACACAGACACATAAAACTAAGATGAAAAGAAATGGAGTGGGGGCAGCTGGTCCACTAAGCCACACATAGCGCCGTTAGTGGTTGAGCCTTAGTTTAGGAAATTCTTTGTTAAGTAGAACTTAGAAAATATAGTTAGAAAGTTTTAATACTTTTATTTAAGCAAGTCTTTTTTGTAAAGACAATTAACCAACTTTGATTAATAGTACTCTTTGCAAATTCTTACTCTTTTAATGGTGAGACTCTATGAAATTATTCTAGCTAAAACTCCTTGAAGGTTCTACTGAGATTCTAAGGTTTATCTCTTCTTGTTCTTCTTAAGTCCTATCTTTGATATGCACAATTGACAGCCATAACTCAGCTTTTTATGCATTGTTGTCATGAATTATTAACCCTTTTATTCAGAAATGCTAGCCTAATTTACTCAACATTATTTTAGTGCTAAAATTCCTTTTTGCGTTCATGTCCAGAAATTTCTGCAACAATGTATCCTTTGCTTTCATACTGCAATCAATCTAATGTTGAAGTATAATTTTGTTCCTGAACCTAATTTTACCTTTCCAATACTAAACACTAAATGCTTTATTCCTAGCCCACCATTTTTGTTGTAGCCTTGATTGTCAGCTTTAAGGTATTGTCCTATTTGTTCACAGTGAGCATCTCATACAATGTTGTTTACCATAAATTAGTTGTTGTCGATAGAAATTTTTGTTAGTTATATAACTCATATTACATAACTTCAAAATATTGAATGTTTGGAACAAAATAACCAGTCTGTTGTACCTGTGACAGCCTTTTGACCCTAATTTTGCCTTTCCAATCATGAACCCTAAAAACCAAATCTAGACCACCCTATTTGATTGTAGGGCAGCCTCTATTATCCGCTTTAAGTCATCTTCAGCATCTTTTATCCTGTGAAAAGTGCACTCACACAATGCCATTTACCAAATATATATATATATATATATATATATATATATATATATATGTATGCATGTATTTCAATTATTGTCCATGAAAACCTTTGTTATCAATCGGTAAAAGGGATATTACCTAGTTTTGCTCCTATTACAGCAAGGTCTTGGGGAGGGAGAACTCAAGGCATACCTAACTATTTACTATTTTGTAAAGCGGCTGCTTTGAGAGACAAATTAACACAAATGACATTGATGTTCAAGCGATAAACCACTGTCCTTACCTCTATATCTTTCTCAACTCTCATTTCCTTAGAGCTTTAGGGTTTCCATTTTACTCGGTTGTCGCCATCCAACTCCTCTCTCATTCCTCTCCTGATCGGCGTTCATTATTAGAGCCTTTGGTTAGCGATTAATAATATCACTTTTACGACAAGAAAATTGGCTACAATCATCTCTCTGTACTAGCATCTACACTCCTTAGTGGCTAGTCACGATTATTGAAATCAACTCCATCCCTGACGGATAGTCATGGTAAACTGTGTCTCTCTCTACATATATACACACACGTATATATAAAGTTTTCTTTTGTTTTATATCTTTTATCTATATGTACAGATCTATATATGTATATATGGTCAGGATGGAGCAGGAACGGCTATTAACTCAATTGTCAGGATAAGGATGGGACTGGGCTGTAAACCTGGGACAAGGATTTTGTAATCGGGGTGGGTGAGGTTTAGGGTAACCCGTTCTAGACCCACCCCCTTTCTATTGCTTGAACCGACCAACCAATAGACTGAGTTTGTATTTCACTAGTTTGGCGTGAGATTCTTTGGGCAGGCTGAATATGAGATTCTTTGGGCAGGCTGAATATGCATCAACGTGAAAAGATAAGATATTTGTAGACGCCGCCCCCCCGGTGGACGCGCGCGCTTTGTCTTCTTTTTAAGGCCTTATCTTCTACTAAATAATAGGATAGTACACTGTATCCTATTATACTGTTGCACTTCTTCAATTTATTGTGCATGAAAGTTGGTTGTGTGGAAGAGCATGGTCAGTTGTTCAAAAAGGAACTGGTCAGAACTGACATCCTGCTTCTCATTAACAACATATTTGGTTCCCAGTTGTGGGAAAATAGCCAAATATGGAGGGAAAATCTTGTCTGTGAAAGCAGAAACTGCATAATAACATTGTTTTTCCATTATATTCCTATTCTTTAAAAAAAAAATTTGAATGAGAGATTTTAGCACTAAAAATAAAGCAGTCCTAACAAAGATATCATCCAACTTGTGCAAATCTATTATTTCTCTTACTATTAACAGTTTTGTCAGCTTTATGTCCTGTGTTAGTTCAATCTTGGTAAAGTCTCTTTTCTTTTACATTATGGAGCAAGCCTCAAGACACTCTTTGAAGTATGCAGATGTACATTTAGGCCATCACTAGCTCCATTCTGTTAATCACTCATTTTAGTTTTTTCTTTTCATTTTTTCTTTTTCTATAATTTCCCCCTTTTTTGGTGTCAGGAAACAAATGAAAATCTTGAAGATGCAGGCAATGAGCTAATTCTCACTGACGAGGAGGTGGTTCGCTTTCAAATAGGTGAGGTTTTTGCTCATGTACCTAAGGAAGAAGTTGAGAGCAGGATTGAGGAGATGAAAGAAGCAAATTGTCAGAAGTTGGAGAAACTGAAAGAAGAAAAGGATTCTGTACTTGCACAGATGGCCGAGTTAAAGAAGATTCTGTACGGGAAGTTCAAGGATTCCATCAATCTAGAGGAGGACTAGCAGTGGTATGCGTTATTTAGAGTTGGCTGCTTATTACTTTAAACGACGGGATTTCCTTGGTTTCCATGATATTACTTGGGAAACAGTAGCTTCATCTTTTCTAATTGCTTGCTTGGATATCCTCGTCTCCTTCGGTGAGCATGAACAGTTTAATTCTTATGCACTGTTGGGGTCTTCTTTAAAAGTGAATTCTTGTATTTCCTTTTTAAAAATTGTTGTTTCAGTTATATTCAAAATACTTTGGTAGCATCAAGTTCTTGGAAATTGAGGTACCCTGATTCCGTGAATGGTCTTGAATTTTCTTCAGCTTGTTGGATCTAAGTCCCAAGAGATTCATGTCCAGATCCTACCCAAAAATGTTTAAAACACATAGACGGGTGAAATAGTTGAAGCAGCCTAGTCTCTACTGATGACAGTTTCAGTTATACAACTATTTTATTCGGCTATCTTGTCAATTGCAAAAACCAGTGTACATTGCATTGGCAATTGCTCCATGGCATGAATGTGATAAGGTCATGGCATTGGACGCCTAATTTACACTGAATTTGTGCTCGAGAACAACTATGGACAGAATGCCAAGCATTTGAGGATAGGTTTATGTCCAGTTTACAGTAGCTGCCTGTTGAATAATATCTTTCTTTATAGAATTAGCTCTGTCCCCTTTGTTTTAAAATGATATCTTTCTTTATAGAATGAGTTTTGCCCCCTTTCTTTTAGCCATTTTCTTGTATGTGATCTAAAAAAAGAAAAAAAACCAACAAATAATAGGGGAGAGAATTTGATTGGAAAAATTGTATCCTGTTGTGTTTACAATGTAGGAACTTGATGGGATCTTGAAGTGGTTCTCTTGTCTTTTTTCTTTTTTTTTTTTCCCCGGTAAATCAAATATATTAAAAGAAAATAAACTATACAGAAAGGGCCAATTGTTGCTTCAATAGCGAAGCCAACAAACGGCAAAGAAGACAGAGCCAGCAACAGCGAAGCAGCTAATTATTTGCAGAGTTGGTGATAACAGTGCTGGGAAGTCTTCATTCTGCAGCAATCAAGCTGGTGCTCTAGGAGTTCTTCATTTTGAAAGAAAGAAGACGGTACCTAATACAATCATCCATAAGGTTCCAAACAATATTTGGAGTGGTCTGTTTCCCTGCGAAGACGTGCTGGTTCCTCTCTTTCCATATGAAGTAGATAGAAGTAGAGAAGCAAAGCTTGACAGTAACAGCAGACATAGAGAATCAGAGCTTGACAGTAACAGCAGACATGGAGTTAGGATTAGCATTCCAATAGTTTGGACAACATCCCATAATCTTGAGGAGAATGGGCAATCGAAGAATAAATGCTAAGGTGATACCACGTCACTAATACAATTGGCGCAATTAAGTTTTTCTCCAATAGCTTGAAGTCTCGACTGTAGAGCAAGCCAGGTGACAAAAGAATGACCGGGAATATTATTTTTGAACCATGAGAGACCGGCTCGCGAGGGGGGCAGGAGGAAGGAGAGCTGTGGAAGTATGTTTGAGATTGAATTGTCCCGTGGGAGAGAGCATCCAAACGGCTGTCTTTGCTATTAGAAGCAATAGGAGGAAGCTGCTTATTAGTACCAATAGAGGGAACAATGCTTCTGAAGTGAGAACTAATATTCCACTGACCATGCCTAATCAAGCAATGGGTTCTCTCGTCTTCCCAATTGAAACCATGTGCAATAATGCCTCATTTATTTTTCCCCAGCCTATAAAATGGTTCTTTATTATCCCATCATTCCTATAGTCTCATTGGTTTCAACATGTCGGGAATTACTCAGTGGTGTGCCCATGTTCGTAGTCTAGTAGAGTACCCAACTTTCCGAATAGGTGTGCCCGTGTTCGAATCCCTCGATTTCAACGGCATGTCATGTATCACATTATGTTTGACGAATAATGGCTACTGGGAGCGCTCATGAATATATGGAACATTGGCATCCCAACGAACTGAAACCTGAAAATCTAAGAAATAAACAAAATCAGTTCCTCCGAAGTAGCCTCAAAAAAGAATTTCAAGATCTTCAACGTAATGTCTAATTTGGTGAAACAAGCCTTTTTAAAGTAGCAACTTTCTAATGCTTTGTCAAAAGCCAACATTATTGGGGATGGACCTTCAATAGAGCTCCATCCACAAGCTATTTTAACTTTCCAATGCTTAATCAAAGGCAACATTATTGAGGAAGACCTATCAATAAAGCTGCATCCACAAGCTCAATTTGTAGAGGTTCTCCCAGGTAGGTGATATGTGAGTACTGAGGACTCTCCATGGGTGCACGGAGTGAGTAGGGTAAAGTCCTATAATCTTCCACATTTATGTGAATGTTATGAACGGTTAGGAGTTTTAGAAATAAGAGAGCGTGTAGATATTAGTAGAGAGTATAAAGAAGATTCTAGAAGAATATAGAGTTCGCTAGTGTTATAAATATTTAGGTAGAAAATTCTAAAGAGTAAATCTTAACAATGTGATGCATCTAGCCTTTCATTAGGAGGAAATTGTCTATATATATGTGTGTGAGGGTGTCATTTGTAATAGAAGGAATATCTATATATATATATGTGTGTGTGTGAGGGTGTCATTTGTAATACAAGGAATGAGTACTATACTGGTGTCACTAGACTCTAAACGAAACAAAATTTCCATAAGGAAACTGAAAGATGAGAGGGTAGGAAAGAGAATTTAGTCGAGCAAAAAAATTTCCAGAAACTGAAAGATGAGAGGGTAGGAAAGAGAATTTAGTCGAGCAAAAAAATTTCCAGAAGGAAACTGAAATATTAGGATTTGGAATGACTTTGTAGCCTCTTTGTGTGCATCTTACTCTGTCTTTTGCTTGAATTTTTCTCATCCCAGTGATCGAACCGCCTTTGTAATCTTGATTTTATTTAGTGTTGTTTGTTTGTCAAGAAAACATAAAAAATAAAATAAACTATTTCTATTACTTTGATTGGCTGGAGAATATCTCTTAAATCCACATACTTGAAAAATAATTTTCAAATTTTCACTACCGAATTAAAAAATAACTTTATAACCTATATATGTGACTATATTATTCTCATTAAGATATATCATGAACACAAAAATCAATTAACATCTAACTTAGTATAACCTAACTTAGTATAACCCCAATCCAGTCAAATCAATCAACCCAATCCCAAGCGACCAAGTTCCTCGTGATCATTGAATCAATCACAACACAACTAAAAAACCCCAAAAAGAATCCTTTATGAAATCCCAACATTTGTAATCAAGTTACTCATGATCATTCAACCATCCTTTATGAAATCCCTACATTTGCAATCAAGTTACTCATGATCATTCAACCAATTACACACAACATCAAAACCCCAAATTGAAATTACCCATTTTGAACTCAAAGCTTGATAACAAAAAATTGCAATGCCATTAGATATCAAAAAACCAATTCAATCAATAGACTTGCAAAAAATTCAACCAAGAAGGCCGCATTGGCTCGCTACCAACAACCGAAAGCAACCCTCCCTCAGCAGCCTCTTGCTCATCCAATATCTGGTCCTCTGCTTGGATTTCCTTGTGTCCCCTCCTTTGTGAGGATGAAAGTTTAATTCTTATGCATTACTTTACTGGTGTTTTCTTTAAAAGTGAATTCTTCGATTTCCATCTTAAAAACTGTTTTCCTTTCATTTACATTCTAAATACTTTGGTAGCACCAGGATCTTGAAAATTGAGGTACCATGGATGACAATCTTGAGATTTCTTCAGCTTGTAGGATCTGGGAAGTCCCAAGAGATTCGTGTCCAGATCCTACCATATGCAAAATCCGGCACATGAAATAGTTGAAGCAGCCTAGTCTCAACTGATGACAGCTCCAGTGCTACGACTATTTGATTCGGCTATCGTGTCAATTGCAAAAACCAGTGTACATTGTTGCACTGCCAACTGCTCCATGGCATGAATACCATAGTTGACTAATTTTTCCGACCTGCTAGTGTCATGGCATGGGATCTTCGACCCTTCTTTTAGCAGTTTTATTGTCTGTGATCAAAAATGGGAAACCAACAAATAACAGGAGAAGATAGATCATTGGAAGAATTGTATTGTGAAATTGAAACGGTTCTCTTGCCTAGAGAATGGTACTTTATTCTCCTACTGAAGCATTTCTTGTTTAATTTTGATCCAAACTGAATCCCATCATTCCGGTCTCATTGGTTTTAAACCAACTTGATATTGCAATATATGGTTTAAACAAGTTATTGCTGTAGACAGAAAAATGGTGTAACAAGTTCTCTAGCTTGATGACAAAGTTTGACTGACTTGAGACATTTTTTTTTTTTTTTTTTTTTCTGACACTCCCAACTTGGATTTGAACCATCGAACTTCTGGTTCAGAAGAGAAAAAAAGTGAAGTACCACTAGGCTACAGCTTTGATGGTGAGCTCGAGGAAGTTAAGCCTTACAGTAATTGTTCTAGTAAAAATAGGCGTTTTCAAGAACTTGCTTTCTTCAAGAATAATTAACCAAACATCACCTACAGAATATTTAGCAATGGCTAATGCAACCGGCAGCCTATCCGCAATTCAATCACACAGATATTGTATCGGTTTTGTTTAACGTAAATTTCTTGTACAAATATTTGCATAACTGTTACAATAACATATCAGGGGCATACATCACAATTCACCTGTCTCTAAACCACCATCTTTTGTTCTCTCAACACAACTTCAGTGAGAAAGCTACTTTTCACAAAACTTCAGAAGAAAAAGAGAATAAAAAAAAAAATACCACTTTCCACATGCCTAATGAAGCTTTATACCAACCAAAGCATAGCATTGACGAAAATTATGAAATTCAAATTAGTCTATTTTGATACTCACGGAAAATAAAACCCACACTACCAATGATTGCATACATGTTGTAAGGAAGTTGTTTCAAGAATTTAAAATCCGCAGGGTGTGGGGAACTCGGTCTAGCAACATAAAACAATAGGATACCAACAACAGCTCCAAAATCGTTGCATGGCATGACAAATATCATGTCACACCCTTCCATGAAAAGGTTATGCCATGAATAGTCTGCATTAGAAGGACATTTAGCTTGTGCATAGAGTCATGTAACATTCTCTATAATAATGTAGAGTTGTATAATAGGCTTGTAATATCCTTAGATATTCTTTTGGAGCATTCTACAACTCATTCTAAATACTTTTACCCTTAGATTGGTGACATGTTTACGGATCCTTGTCATTTAATATAAGGCCTTGGCCTATAAATTAGAGTGGGCATTCATTTGTCTCTCACCAATCAACCAGATCTTGTAAAGCAATCATCAACTTAGAATAATGTTGTAAAGCAATCAACCATTAGTATGATATAGGTTTGATTAATTATGTGTTAGGGTTTGCAGGTGGTGTTAGGATAATGTTAAAGCATTAAGTTCTTATCTAAGAATTAGAAGATTCATGTTTCTATTATTAAAAATAGAAGTATTCCCCCTGTAAACCTTTACCTACCTTTACCTCGATTAAGCGCCAAGGTATCGATTTCTTGAATAACAAGATTTCGGGTTCTGATCAAGTTGCTGATTGGGAGAGAATTGCCTAATGATTTGAGTGACTTCATGGGGTTAGTGGGAATTTAATTTGGGATGAGTGTGTATGACATCAAACATATGATGGTGGATTGGAACGAGATTTTTCCAAATATACGTGTCAATTAAAGAAGACTACCTATCTAACTGAATAAACATTAAGTAAAGATAGTCATAGTTAAGCGAAACTAGTTTCATTACCTATCGGCCAAACACAAGATCAACTATCCTACCACCATTTGTTAGCTTGAGGGATATCTACTCTCACCCTCAAAGCTCAAAACGGGAAGACGGGGCATATTAATTGACAGGGATATCTACTCTCACCCTCAAAGCTCAAAACGGGAAGACTGGGCATATTAATTGACAAGTAATACCCAACCAATGCATGTTTTTCATTATTAGTAGCATAAGATGATAATTTTCAGTTTTTCATGCACCGGGGAGCATATGAATTGACAATAGTACCCTACAAGTGCATGCTTCTCATTAATAATAGCATAAGATGACAATTTTCAGTTTTTCATGCACGGGGAAATGAAAGGTTTTTTAGTCGGAGCATATGAATTGACAATAGTACCAAGTGCATGCTTCTCATTAATAATAGCATGAGATGACAATTTTCGGTTTTTTACTTAACAAATTAACATCTAAACTCAATACTGCCAAGAGAAAAGTGCATTATATAGCATTCTCTTTAACATATACAAAAAAACAATTAGTTAAAACAAAGTTCAAAGACTACCCTGCATATCCCAAAAATAAAATTCGGATAGCAAGAAAAAGATAAATCACCTCTACTATTGATACTACAAAATGCCGTATAGCCCAATTCTGTCCATGACTAAGCAATTGTCAGTTTGCTATTTCACATTACAAATCATCACCACATTCCAATGATAACAGCACTTGAAAAGACAGTCAGAGAAATAGAAACGCCAAACTTCAAAATCCGAATCCAAGTCACCCTAGTCCCACCATTAGCAATACTCATGATCGTTCAACCTGTTACAAACTTACAACACAATTCAAAAAACCCATTTTGAAATCCGACCATTTGCAACCAAGTTACTCATGATCATTGAACCAATTATCCTAATCCCATCATTAGCAACGAATTTCCTCTTGATTATTCAATTAGTTACAACACAATTCCATAAACTCCCAAAAGACCAATTTCGAAATCTACCATTAGCATCCAAGTTACCCATAATCATTCAACCAATTACACACCAACACGAAAAACCCAAAATTGAAATAACCCCAAATTGAAATAATCCATTTTGAACTGAAAGCTTGATAGCCAAAAATTGCAATCACAGAACCAATTCAAATCAGCAGACTTACAACAAATTCAACCCAGAGTATGAGTAGGCCGCATTGGCTCGCCGCTGACGACCGAAAGCAACCCTCCTTCAGCAGCCTCCTGCTCATCCAAGAACTGATCCTCTGTAATCCTAAACGCCCCGTGTAACCCAACAACCACAACCCCAATCAACAACGACACCAACACATTCAAACCCACATGAGTATACACCAAGGCGATGACAGTAATCAAACTCAGACCCACCAAAACGAGCCGATCATCGAACCTCTTGTTGAACAGCATAATCGGGTCGTCGCGAAAGAAGTAGAGGAAGAACCAGGCGACGAACACGATCAAGAAGACGATTATCGAAATTGGGTGGTAGATGAGGCTGAGGAAGAGAACGAGCAAAATAAACATGGCGTAGTTGACTCGGAAGTAGTTTAGGTTTCGCCTGATGCGGGACATGGCATCCGCGTAGGTGTGAGGCCGAGAGAAGGAGTGGCGATCGAAGAGTTCTCGCCATGGGCGGCGGGTGGCGAATAGGGTTTGGGTCTGGGATTTGGCTTGCGTGATGAATGTTGTCAGTGGCTGTTGTCTGGTGGTGGTGGTGGAGGAGGTAGTTGGTACCGTGCCGTAAGTGGAGTTTGATTCGTAAGTGGAGGGTGATTGACTTGACATTATTGATTATTGTATGGATCTGTGAACCCTGGTTCTGAATCAATATATTGGATTTTGAGATAGAGATAGATAGAGAGAGAGAGAGAGAGAGATTGATACAGGCTTATTTCTTTTTCTTTTTATCTTCTTTTTTCTATATGGTTTTTTTTTTTTTCAATGATATGACAGAGTTGTACTTCTCAAGGGAAAAAAAAAAAAAAATAAAATTAAAAGAAAAAATGGAGAATTACTCAAACCCCATTTTTTTTAATAAGTGAAAATAACTTAAAACATTACTTTTATTTATTTATTATTTTTAATTTTATTACGAACTTTCAAAACAGTCGTCCATCTCTGGTTTTATAACTTTTTAAGGGAACATGCAATTAATGTATTGTCTCCTTTTCAAATTATTAAATTGTCCTTCAAACATTAAATATATATAATAACAAAGTTTGAAAATTTTTAAAAAGATAAATGACAATGATGGAAATATAATGGAAAGATGATTTGACTTTCAAAGAGGATAACTAATTTGGGACATATAAAAAGAGAAAAATGGATTACTAATAAGGGACGGATGGAGTATATTTTCATATCAAATCTATATTTTGAGAACTAATTTGGGACATATAAAAAGAGAAAAATGGATTACTAATAAGGGACGGATGGAGTATATTTTCATATCAAATCTATATTTTGAGAATAACTACAGTGTCAGAATGTTATATTTTTACAAGTATGCTGCAATTGTACATTTCATTCAAAATACTATTTTTTGACACAACAATCATTCCATATTTTGAGAGTCCATTGGAGTGTCTTATTTTCATTGTAACAACTTTTGATAATCTCAAAATATGAGAAGTCTTTTGAGAGAGCCCATTGGAGTGGCTATTTTCATCCATTTACTATATTTTGAATTTAAGAGGCCATTTAAGAGCTGTTAGAGCATCTTCAATGATAAAATGCTAAATTCGGATGCCAAATCTATATTTTGACAGTGCTACAGTATCAAAATGCTATATTTTAACAATTCTGCTCCAATAATGCATTTTATGTAAAATACTATTTTTTGACACAACTACTATTCTTTTTCAACTACCATTCCCACCATTCATATTTTCATCAGTAATGTTAATATTAGGCACATTTCAAGTTAAGTTATAGACATTAAAAAGAAACTAAAATTAAACTTAATTAAAAAGAATCAAAATCAAAAAAGGACCCAAAATATATATATATATATATATAATCAAATATGTTAATTTATATATATATATATGTATGTATATTATATATATTTGATTATATTATTATTAAATATATATATATTTAGGGCAAATGATTTCAGTCATGTATAGTTTTAGGGCAAATCATTTCAGCCTCCCCAATCGCAAGTTTCAGCCACTGTCTCTCAACTCTCAAGCTTGTCCCCCCCCGCCCTCCCCTCTCTCTGCAACTGCTAACTTGTTTTTTTCTTTCTAAATCAACTAATCAAGGCTGTAATTCTTGTTTTGCAAACTAAATCCTATTTGGGAAAATTTTTTATGATCTTTTTTAAATATATGTATATATAGAATCCAAACGAATCGTCGCCGAGGAAATTGCCGGAATTGGAAGCTTTTGCTCTGAAGAGAGAGATTTTGGCAAAGAGAGAGAGAGAGAGAGACACGGCCGGCAACAAAAAAAAAAAAAAAAAAGGAAATAGCTATAGCTATTTATTTTGTTAGATTTGGCACCAAAAATAGCAAAGGCAAAGGCAAAATTTGACAAGTGATATAGCTGTGGAAGGCTAAATTTTAACTCACCTACTATACTTTGAATTGGCAGCTCATATTGAGATGCTCTTATATTAGATAATACATTTGAAAATCCCAAAATATGAGAGATGTTTTAAGAGGCTATTGAAGTATCTTATTTTCATTCACATGTTATATTTTGAGTTTGAGAGCCCATTTAAGAGGCCATTCGAGATGCTCTAATCACTCGACACTTACTATTGACTCTCAAAATCACTCCATAGTTTAACACTTAAACCCAAACACATGCAGATCAATTTTCATAACAGAGTTTCATTTTTCAACTTTTAATGATATGAAAACAAAAAATATTATCAAAAATTGAACCAAACATGTCTTGGATGGCTAAATGTGTTGTTATGAATCTATGTCTCGTCCTGTGGAGGGATTCTACGCCTTGAAGTCCCCTTATGTGGAGGGCTATGCCATCTTTCTGTACATTGTTATACAATGAAGCATGTGCTCCCTAGATTGGGGGCCATCTTTAAATATAAGATATTTTTTTTGATTGTTTATATATATAGAAAAAAATTCTATATAATGCCTCCCTAAACTCTTTAATTTTTAAAATTTTCATTCTTTACTTTTTAGATTTCTTTAATTTTCTTAAAAGAGAAGTTAAATTTCCTTTCTTTAATTAGACTCTAAATTTTTTTTCCTTTAAAAGATCTCTCATTTTTCTTTTCTTTTTCTTTAATTTTTTTTCCCCACTCCTTAAAATTCTTCTTTTTTTCCCTTGTATGTAACTTTGTTTCCCATCTTCATATTCTTTTTATCTATTTCTCTTATTTAAATTTAACTGTAATTTTATGAAGTCAGTAGAAGTAATTTCATACATGATTTTCAAAATATGAAGATACTACACCCCCGTCTCGGTCTCCTTTTAAACTTAAATTGTGACTTAATGGCAATTACTTTTCTATTACTATAACATTATTCTTTTCAATTTTAGTCACCAAAATTTATTTTTCCATAATAATTATATATACAATCTTATTAACTTAGGATTGTGATGAAGCATATAATAAGCTTTATATTCTGATTACGTGCTTGACCGCCACAACAGACTTCATTTCCATCTTTAGACTGACTGTAGGTGGACCCACTACTTTACTAGTTACCACCCTACCATTTCATCCGAAACAATGCTTATTGACCTTGATACAAGTGTCAACAATATTTTATTGTTCACACGAACAAAATTCTCAACACGTGTGACTTAGATCCACACAACCTCAAATATTTTAAAAATAGTAAAATAACAGTGTTAAGTTTTCTTCTTATTAATTGAAAACTTATATATACATTTGAAATATTCAGAAAAAAAAATGAAAACTTATATATACATTTGAAATATTATCTTTCACTTTTGAGAGGAAGAAGATATACAAAAACTAAGAATCCAAACTATTTAGTACATACTTGTGTATTTGATTGTCTTCAAACCAATTAACAAAGTTAATTTACTCCACTCATTGCCTTCAGGGTAATAAATCAATTACCCAGAAAGCCCCCTCCTTTCTCTCTCTATCTTCTCTCTCTCTCTCTCTCTCTCTCTTTCTGTACAATCCAACCCACCCTTCAATTAGATGACTGCATCACAGAACATGCAACTGCTTGAGCCCAATGCCTCAACTTTGTCTTCACCTGTTGAGGATTATCACCTGAAAAATATATATATATATATATATATATATATATATATATATATATATATATATATAATGTGAAAACTATGTCAATGAGAAGAAAGTTCACTATTTCATGCTTTTTCAAGTTAAGGTACATGATGATTGTATTATATTGAAATGAAGGATAACTAATTCAACACCAAAATAATTTTAAAGTTACATATCAAATCTATTTACAAAGAGATACGTACTCTTAATGTTATAGTAGATACTCTATTGTCAAAACTCGTTGGTCCTGAATTCTAAAATTCAAAATTTTATGACTTTTTTTATAAAAAAAAAAAAAAAAATAGTTCGTCAGACAAAAAATGATGACAATGAATACAAACTAATTGAAGTGCAAGGCTTATTTGGCTTTATAACTCTAAAGGAATAAGGATTGGACCATGAATGTGCATTCAATTTCATGAATGTTACTCTTACTCCGTTGTGTTTTTTTCTATTTGTGAAAAATGAAATTATTTTTTTGATAATATATAAAAATATATATATATATATTTATTCAAAGTAATGTCAAAATATGTATAGGATTATTATTTGTAAAATGCATGTATAGACCTGGACTACATATCTTCCATGGATCAGACTCACTCCCTGGACTTCCAACAGCCGATGATTGTCTTTCGAGAGACATGGAGGAGCCGCCAAGAGATGTCAACGAGCCTCTACTGCCCGGCGACGAGACCGGGCTGGTTGAGTATTGCCGATTCACCGCAAAATAAAGGTCAAGAGCAGGCAAGGTGTTGCATAGTTCTTGTCCATCCTCTTCGTTGAACCCGAACCCTAGCTCTATACTTCCTTTCAGCTCATTGAGATCCTCATCGGTCAGGCCCCCGGTGTCGTGAATCGAGTTCCTCCTCTGCACCTGACGGACAATCTGGCGGCGCTGCCGTCTCTCCCATGCAATTTCACGAGGCATCTCACACATTGACATTTGCTTGGACAACTTCTTGCGGTTCTTCCAGAATGGCGGCGCTTGCTCAAGACACCGCAGCTCCTCATTTTCCGACGTCTCAGACAAAAGGCAATCCAAGAACTGGTCCTCTGTAACCCTAAACGCCGCGTGTAACCCAACAACCACAACCCCAATCACCAACGACACCAACACATTCAAACCCACATGAGTAACCACCAAGGCAATGACAGTAATCAAACTCAGACCCGCCAAAACCACCCGATCATCAAACCTCTTGTTGAACAGCACAATCGGGTCGTTGCGGAAGAAGTAGAGGAAGAACCAGGCGAAGAACACGATCAAGAAGAAGATTATCGAAAATGGGTGGTAGACGAGGCTGAGGAAGAGAATGAGCAAAATGGCCATGGCGTAGTTGACTCGGAAGTAGTTGAGGCTTCGCCTGATGCGGGACATGGCCTCCGCGTAGGTATGGGGTCGAGAGAAGGAGTGGAGATCGAAGAGTTCCCGCCATGGGCGGCGGGTGGCGATTAGGGTTTGGGTATGGGATTTGGCGGGCGTGATGAATGTTGACAGTGGCTGTTGTTTGGTGGTGGTGGTGGTGGAGGAGGTGGTTGGTACCCTGCCGTAAGTGGAGGGTGATTGACTTGACATTATTGATTATTGTATGGATCTGTGAACCCTAGTCCTGAATCAATGTATTGGATTTTTGAGATAGAGATAGAGATAGAGATTGAAGATTGGCTTATGAGTAGTATGACAGAGATTGAAGATTGGCTTTTTAATTTCTTTTCCTTTTTATCTTCTTCTTTTGTCTCTATAAAAAAAAAATTTAAAAAGAGAAATGGAAAATTACTCAAACCCCATTTTTTTAATAAGTGAAAATTAAAACCCTACTTTTATTGTAGTATTTATTATTATTTATATATATATATATTTTCGGACTCGGTAGTATTTTTTTTGGGAGGCAAAAATCCCTGAACTAATGAATACATTATCCCTTATTTTATTATACCATAATTACAGTTTGCACTATAAATTTTTATTTTTTTTTATTATTATTTTTTTTATTCTATACTTGCTTGAAAATTTATAATTTAACGTAGCACTGAAACAATTGTCCTCCTAAATCTTACATAAGATAGTAAATACACTAACTAATTTTAAACAAAACTACCTTTTCTTCTTCATATTTGAGGAGGCCCTGGATGACATGGGCCAGGTCCGACTCGCAAAACACAACCTTCAGTCCAAACAGCTGGGTCAGCCCATAAAAAGACACTGCCATATGGGCCGAGCGGGAGTAAGCCCATCAAGAGTGACCAGGGCTTACTGAGGAATAGGCCCAGGTCCAGCAATTAGTAAATATCTTGTAAATATCTTGTAAATATCTATAAATAGGAGTTGGAATGAAGAGGAGGGGGATCTTGATTCGGGTTGAGGTGTAAGAATTCTAGAGAGAGAAAGAATAGAAGGAGTTTCTTGCATCTTCAATTGGCGCCGTCTGTGGGAAACGCATAAAAGTTTGGTTGATCAATGAGGAGGATCGAATGGATTCAAACCAATTCGGTTGATCGAGACTCGATCTTGCGGATTTGAATCCAGATCTGAGCGATTGTGACCTACTCTGGAGGAATTACGATTCTTGAAGCTTTGGCAGGAGTGACTTCAGATCTACGCAACCGCGAGTTGCTCGATTGTGACAGGATCTGACGGATTTAGAGTCCAGGCAATTCAGATCTTGTAAACAGTGAGCATAATTCGGAGAATTAGAAGCCAGATCTAAAAATTCCTACTCACGAAGCTTAGATCTACTCGCGAGCTTGAGATTAATGCCTTTACTCCGTTCGGGAATAATGATAGGTGAAAGCTCCAATCCGATGGAGGCTGTCCAGCAAACAAAGCTTGAAGAGTTGATGAATTTGATTGAAGCTCTCAGAAAAGAAAATGCAGAATTGAAAGCTGGATTGCAGCATCGGCAAATACCCGCAGTCTCGCATCCGCTTCCGGTCGGAGAAGGAGGTGTTCCATCTAGTATCGCGCATCAAGGCGATCAGAACGAGAACAATCAGTCAGCTCACCACCGTGATGAAAGGATGATGGACAATTCGCCGCCAAATGTTCGTCGAGTTGAAGATCACGAAGGCTCGACTCACGTTGATCCACAGCGGGAAAGGTTTGACCGAGAGGAAGTGATGGAGGTAGATCGCCGTCGAGTAGCGTCGCCTTGGCAGAGAGAGTTCATAGAGGAACGGTCGTTCGATCCGTCTTACCGGCCCTCCATGGTTACTGTCACTCATCACGGTTCGGAGGGCAGAACCGTAACTCACAGAGCTACCGCCGGACTCCAGAGAGAAAATGAAGCTCTCCGATCCGCAGCTCGGACGGTGGATTCACCATTCACCGACGAGATCTTGAATGCGCCGCATCCAAGGAAGTTTGCTATGCCAGTCTTTATTCTGTTTGACGGAACAACCGATCCGATCGATCATGTGTATCATATCCAGTTGAAAATGGCCCTGAACACGGAAAACGACTCTTTAATGTGCAAATGCTTCCCTACAAGTTTGGCCGGACCGGCGCTCAGCTGGTTCAAAAACTTGCCTAGGAGCTCCATTGGCAGTTTCAGGGACCTGTGCGATCGGTTCATAAGCCAGTACTATGGGAACAAACGCCCGCCGAAGGACATCTCGAGCCTGTTCACGATGCGGCAACACAAGGATGAACGGCTCCAGGCCTTTCTTACCAGGTTTAATCTCACTAAGAGTATGGTAATCGAATGCCATCCTACTACGGCAGTTCAAGCCTTCAAGTTAGCCATGACACGCGGAACTCCGTTTCACACCAGTCTGGTAGTGAATACGCCAGCTACCATGGACGAACTCAATGAGAGAGCCGATGGCTTTGTGCGCCTCGAAGAAGAGGAGGCAGCTAATGCTCGGACAACGTCGCTTGTGTCGACCGAGGAAAAGTCCAAGGCAAAGATCAGGCAGAAGCAGGCTCAGCCGCAACGTCAGACCACTTGGAAGGCCGAAAAAAGGTCCAGGGAGGAAGAGTTGATTACTCCGCTGAAGGTCACTCTGGCGAGGTTATATCAGGAGAACAAGGACAAGTTTCATCCACCACTGCCAATTAGACAACCCCTCGAACAGAGGGATCAAACTAAACATTGTGCTTTTCATTCTGATTTCGGACATCAGACTAACGAATGCAGGAACCTGAGGAGGCAAGTGGAGATGTTGATAGCTAGAGGGGAGTTTGCGAGTTATGTTCAAGGCTCGGCGATGGAGCAGAATCGACCAGTGGAACAAATAAAAAGGAGTCATAAACAAAGCTCCCACAATTCGCAACCAGTTCGTATAATCAATGCTATCCATGGTCGACCCGAGCCTAGTGAAGAGCCAGATGAGCTGCTACGGGTGCGCCTGCGGCAGGCACAGATGAAGAAAAGGGTCGGCAATGTGACCACTCTACACCAACAGAGCCCGTCAATGCAGATAAAGTTCGACTGGACAGACCTGCAGCGTGTCCAACTGCCTCATGACGACCCGTTGGTAGTCAGTTTGACAGTGGCAGAGTGCTTGGTGCGCAGAGTTCTGATCGATCCTGGGAGCAGTGCGAATGTTATGCCAAGGGACACATTTGACAGGCTCGACATTAAACCAGAGAGGCTCAAGCCCACCGGAAATCCCTTATTAGGGTTCGATGGGAAGAGGGTGGAACCCGTCGGGATGGTGGAAGTAGAAGTTCAAGCTGCAGAGCGAGCTCTTATGGAAACTTTTGTGGTTGTGGAAATTCACCCCTCGTATAATCTCCTGATGGGAAGAGGATGGATTCACAGAGTCCGAGGTGTACCCTCAACTCTGCATCAGGTCATGAGGTGCCTCGGGCCCGATGGAGATAAAGTGATAGACATTCGGGGGGATCAGGTCGCAGCCAAAGAGTGTTATTCCGTCACACTAAAGCATGCAGGGAAGGGAAAGGCGCCCGTCCGGTCGACAAGCCCCAGATAGCAATTACAGGAACCTCCACTCGAGCAGAATAGGGTGGAGGAGTCAGCCGACTTGACCGAGGAGCCCCTTCTGGATGTGCAGATCGATCAGTCCAGGCCAGAACGAACTACCAGAGTGGGTATAAGACTGACCAGAGAAGAGCAGCAAGAGCTAGTGGATTTCTTATCCCACAATGTCGACGTATTTGCATGGAGTCATCTCGACATGCCTGGAATTAGTCCTTCCGTCTCCTGTCATTCCCTGAATGTCAATCCTAATTTCAAACCAGTGAAACAGAAGCAGCGAAGATTTGCTCCAGAACGTAATCAGATCATAACGGAAGAAGTTGATAGGCTGCTTGATGCGGGATTTATCAGAGAGGTGCACTACCCTGAGTGGTTGTCCAACGTCGTTGTGGTGCAGAAGAAAAATGGGAAATGGCGCGTATGCATTGATTTCACCAATTTAAACAAAGCCTGCCCGAAGGACAGTTTCCCGTTGCCTAAGATTGATCAAATGGTGGATGCCACCACGGGGTATGAGCGTTTAACCTTTCTGGACGCATATTCAGGTTATAATCAGATTCCTATGGACCCCGCAGATGAAGAAAAAACTTCTTTTGTCACCGAGCGAGGAACGTACTGCTACAAGGTTATGCCTTTTGGATTAAAGAATGCGGGAGCAACTTATCAACGACTTGTCAGCAAAGTTTTTAAGAATCAAATGGGTAAGATTGTCGAAGCCTATATTGATGACATGGTGGTGAAAAGTAGGAAAAAGGATGATCATCTGAAGCATCTGCAAGAGGTATTTGATGTACTAAAGCGATATGGGATGAGGCTCAATCCGACCAAGTGCTCGTTCGGTGTGAGTTCCGGGCAGTTTCTGGGACACGTGGTCAACCGCAGGGGCATCGAAGTTAGCCCCGCTCAAGCAGAGGCTTTGATTAAGAATGCCGAGCCAAAGACGATCAGAGAGGTGCAAGCCCTAACAGGACGAATAGCTGCATTAAGTCGATTTATTTCAAAGTTGTCAGACCACTGCAAACCATTCTTTGACACGATTCGGAGCCATGGAAGGCAGGTCTGGGGGGATGAGCAACGACAGGCATTGACTCATTTGAAGCAATATATGCAGAATCCGCCAGTCCTGTCAGCCCCAGAACCGGAAGAAAAGTTATTTCTATATCTTGGAGTATCTGGTGTCGCGACGAGTGCCGTTCTGATTCGTTGCAAGGAAGGGGTGCAATACCCAGTATTTTATGTAAGCAAAACACTGATGGAGGCAGAAAAAAGATACTCAAAGGCCGAACGGGTGGTACTTGCACTTGTAAATGCAAAAAGAAAGTTAAGGCATTATTTTGAATCCCACCCCATAGCTGTTCTAACAACTTTCCCAATCAGAACGCTCATGCACAAGCCAGAGCTCTCGGGCAGAATGACAAAGTGGGCCATAGAGTTGAGTTCATTTGACATAACGTACGAGCCGAGAACAGCTATTAAAGGGCAAGCAGTGGCCGATTTCCTACTAGAATGTGATGCCGAAGATACGGAAGAGGACCTTAGAAGCGGCTCTTGGAAACTTTTTGTGGATGGCTCCTCTAACCCGACGGGGGCTGGGATTGGGATCAAACTGCAAACCCCAGAAGGTACTTCCTTGAGC